TTACTACATTCTGTTAAACATCTATTCTTGGATTATTCCATTACAGAGATAACACACTGCATAAAAAGCACAAAATCAGAGTTCATTAATAAGGTAAACAATGCAGTAAAACTGTTACAATAATATCTAGATATACTTCAAAAACACTTTGAAAAACATTTTGGCATTTTCCCTAGCAAATTTTCAACATATTTTAAAACTGAAATTACCATTGAAGGACTACAAGTTTTCATCGTCACAGAAGGTGAAACACACTCAAACTGCATTTGATGAGCTTGAGAAAATACATTTTTATTTGTTAATTTCAACTCAAATAAGATATAGCTTTTACTACTGAAATGCTTTCATGAAGATGGTATATAAAACTTGAATCAAATTTAATAACAAATTTTAGAGAGAGAGTTCACAAGTTCATTCAAGAGTTCAACAAGAGTTCATTCTTGGCTATATTTTTATTTTCATAATTAATATACAGCATTTAATGTGTTAAAATATATCTTCAAACTTATATTTTAAAATTCTATTTGTAAGAAAGAGTTTCTTCATTTATTATATTAAGAAACTATAAAATTTTTGCATACTCAAACCATACATGGCATGGGATTCATAATTTCTTCAAATCTTGCATTGTACATTAAGTATAGGTTTAATGGAAGGAAATTTGAATGTGTGTGTGTATGTATATATAAAAAAACATAATAGGCTAAAAATTATAAAAAAAACAACATTTTACAAAACCCGCCCTGCTGCAGGATTGAAGTAAAATAAACTTAAAGCATCTATAAATTGGAATTAAAAGCAAGGCTATTCCTCAAAAATATTAACAACTGCAACCATATACAAGAGGTGTAACACGATATCTAAATAAAAATTAAAATAAGAATTCATAGTATAACAAACTTGAAAAATAAACATATGAAAGGGAAAATATACACAATTAATAAAAATATAAAAATTAATCTCCTTTTACTGAAACTCCAATTCAGAATTCATCAAGGGAAAACGAATTAAAGCTTCACAAAAATCGATTAATAGGTTTTGAAAACATATTTCATTATCCTGGTTTATTTCAGATTAAAAACCGAAAAAAGATTCAATTAAATTTTCATTTAAGATATTAAAATTCATACAAAACCGAAAAAATGAATCTCAAATGTACCAGAATTTTCTGTACATGCTTTTGAAACACTTGGAAAAAGTAATAAAATATAATATCATGCCAAATTGACAACTAAAAAAGACCCATAAAACTTGACATTATACCAATTGATCTTAAAAAAAAAAAAAAAAAAAAAAAAAAAGAAAGGTCTAAAACAATTCAATTCTCTGATTCTCTCAGTAATTAAAATTCAATGCTTTGAAAGGGTTGAATAATCTGCAATTATGCACCTGGAATGCAAATGGCATTTCCAATAAATTTCACGAGTTCAGAGATTATGTAGAAGAGAAGGGCTTTGATATCATTTTTGTCCATGAGACCAAACTCCAACCAGGGAGAGTTCCCAAGCTTGCAAATTATGCTATGTATAAAAACGATACGCAAGCTACTGATATTCGTAATAGATTTCATGGTGGCACATGTATTCATATCAAAAATAGTATTACATATAAAAAGATTGAAATATCTAATCTGAGCAAACTTGAAGCGATGATTGTTGAAATTTTCATTCAAAATTCACCCTCCCTAGCTTATCTTTCCCCAGGAGGAAAATTACCTGTGGAAGATTTTAATAAACTGCTCAGAATTTCTAATAACATGATTATTGCTGGTGACCTAAATTATCATCACCAGTATTGGCGTTGTAGAAGATCCAACTCTGCTCTGCATGACCTTCTAAATTGGGCTCAAATCAAAATTATTGTAATTTTGATTTGATTTTGACGGATTCCCCTACACGTTGTTATGATGCATGGAGAACCCCTTCTATTATTAATTTGGCTCATTTTCGGAACACTCCCTTTGATTTTCAGGTGACTGTGGAAAGTTGTTTAGCCTCAGATCACAATCTCATACTCATCGACCTTAACACTGTACTACTTTTGATCAAATTCTCTGACACTAGTCTCCACCAACTGGGACAACTTTATATTTAAACTTAAAAGTAAAAATTTGCCCTTCCTTGAAATTAAATCCTCTGACATTGACGAAGCAGTTGATCAATTAACGAAAACCCTTACTGATACCTTTAAAGACGTATCCAAACACACCCTTAGACCCAATTTTCGTAAGCTTCCTCCAGAAATTAAAAACAAAATTCGTGAAAAGAACAAGGTACAGAGACTTTGGCAAAGACATAGGAGTCCTGGCTTAAAATTAATTTCGTGCCCTCCAGAATGAAGTCAAGGTGTCTTGTGACCAATTCTTCCAAACACAATACATTCAGTCCTTATCGACCAATGGTACAGCCTTTAGCGTGCACCTGCTAGGATACACAAACCTAAAACTCACATTCTGTCTTTATTAAAAGACGCAGTGATGGCTCACACAGACATGGAGAAAGCAGAACTAATTACTGATAGTTTCCAAACACAATTTACACCACATAATGAAGGAGTTTTTGCTAACACCTCAAATTCCTTCCAACAGGATGCTGAACATTTCCTTTCCTCTCCCTTTCAGAGAAACATACAATACACAACCATGAGCGAAGTTAGAGAATATATTGCTAAGCTCAAACCTAAAAGGCTCCAGGGTTGGATTCTATTTCTAATCGCATGATTAAATTTTTACCCACCAATCATCTGTTCTTCCTAGTGATGCTTATAAATTATATGATCCTGCATTGCTATTTTCTTCAAAGCTGGAAGCACGAACTTATAGTGCCTATTCCAAAACCTGGCCAGTGCCACTCAAATCCTCAAAATTACAGACCTATCAGCCTCCTATCTTCATTATCCAAGATTTATGAATTTGTGCTACTTAAATGCCTGAATGATTTTCTCTGGAACCAAAAAGTCCTTATTGATAAACAATTTGGATTCCGAGCAAAATACGGCACTACACACCAGCTGCTGAGGACAGTGGAGTTCATTCATGAAGGGTTTCGTAGAAAAATGCTTACAGGTGCACTTTTTCTTGACATTGCCAAAGCATTTGATAGGACTTGGCACATTAGTATTATTATCAAGCTCATGCGACTTGATCTTTCACCTCATTTCATTCATATAATTAACTCATATCTCACTAACAGATCTTTCTCTGTACGAGTTAATTCTATTATTTATACTCCCCGTCCAATCCTCAGTGGTGTAGCCCAAGGTAGTCTCTTAGGACCAACTTTGTTCAATTTATTTATTAATGACATACCAAAATCACCCAGTGTCACCCTAGCTCTCTATGTGGATGACAGTCATCCTAGCAAGACACAAACACCTGGACAGATTGGTTCATAATATTCAGAGTTATCTCTCAAGCCTTGAGCACTGGCTCATTACTTGGAAAATAAAAATTAATGCCGTTAAATGTGCTGCTATGATTTTTAACGAGCTCCCCTCCCATACCCTACCATTAACTTAAAGTTCTTTAACGATTATGTTCCCTAGACTAATTCTTACAAGTATCTTGGTGTTGCACTTGATTTCAAATTAATCTGGCACATTCAAATTGATAACATCAAAAAAGCAAAGGGAGTCAGATTCCAACTTTACCCACTTTTAGCGTGTAACAGCCAACTGTCAATCAAAAACAAAGCTCTTCTCTACACATCTATTTTAAGACCTATTATTTTATATGCATGTACTATTTGGGGCACTGCGGCTAAGACTCATGTGAAAAAACTTAAATCTTTTCAAAGTAATACCCTACGTATGATTCTAAATGCATCCTGGTATGTCCATTCAGACGTAATTCACTCGGATCTCAGTATTAAATCCACTGATGTTGAAATTAAAAAACTTAGTAAAAATTTATTTCTCAAAATTGAAAAGATTGATAATCGTGTACTTCAACAACTACCTGCCTATGATCCTGCAATTCCCAGTTTACAGAAGCGCCTTGCTCTATTATTGACCGGGAATATAACATCTTTCCACCAGCTAAAAGGCGAAACCACGCCCTTCCAGCCCAGACTCCGTGAAGGAAGAACGTCTCTTGTTATGCTGCCATAATATGTCAATAGCTTATCCATCTTCACTATAATTTGCTCACACCAACCTGAAAAGTGACCTTTTACATAATTATCAATCTGTTATTTTAAAAGTCATATCTTCCCGCAGAATTTATTTCTCCTTTGAATATTTTCTTGTGATTACCTTGCTATATTTGCACTATTACATCCAGCCACATGCCAATGAGCCTATTAATCGTAAAATCTTTCCTATCCACTTTTTGCTTTAGTGTTTATATTGTGTATGAGAAAATAATAATAATAAAAAAAAACTTAAAATATAAAACTACAAAAAAGTTTATTACAAAAACCATAATTTCATTTTATTAACTGTTTTATATATTTCTCTATCCCTAGCCCTTACTCAAACATATGTGGCTCCCTCTAGTTTGCATCAAGTAAACTAACTTATACAATTTTCTATTTCTGCTCACTTTATTTAATTCTGAGAGGTAAATGGTCTTAAACCATAGGTACTCCGTAATTTGAAATCATTGGCATTGGCAAACCATTATATCCAAATCTGAAATTCAAAAGCAATTACAAATAAAGAGAGAAATAAATGAAAATTTAATTGAATTTTTTTTTCGGTTTATGATTTCAAGAGAACCAGGAGAACGAAACATGTTTTCGAAACCTATTAATCAATTTTTCTGAAGCTTTAATTCAGATTCCCCAGATGAGTTCTGAATTGGAGTATCAATAAAAGGATATTAATTTTTTATATTTTTATAATTGCGTATATTTAACCTTTCACATTTTCATTTTTCTAGTTAGTTATACTATGAATTCTATTTTTAATTTTGATTTGTTTAGATATTGTATTATACCTCTTACACACGATTGCAGTTATTAATACTGTTGAGGAATAGCCTTGCTTTGCTTCCAATTTAATATTTGCTTTAGATGCTTTAAGTTTTTATGTATATATAAACATAATAGTCAGTTAAAAATTAAAAAGAAAATTTTTAAAACCATGCTTACATATATAATAATTATTATACTGATAATATATATATATATATAATGTAAATATAGCATAAGATTTATGATTCAGCTTAAGCAAAAACATTTCAATACACTCTAACTTGAACAAATAATCAATGATTCAGATTATTTCATAAGCTTAAATGGAAGAAATTTTTAAGTCCTCAAAATTATGTTACACTTGACTAACATATTTTAGCTAAAATTTAATATTTTATGGCTTTTTATGATTAATTTCAATTTTCTTTCGATTATTATTAACTTTTTCACTGTAAATCATATTTCCAGTTTTCTCCCTTTTTTGACTAGCATTTAAAACACAGCAGGCAAACATATTTAAAAAAAATATATTAAATAATTAATAATAATCATAATAAATTAAATAACCAAATAACAGTAAAACGGATAAATCAAAAGAACAATGAAGGAATAACAAGAGTATCTTCCATTGGAAAAATTTCAAAAATGGATTGACTTAAATATAAATTACATTTCTCAATTGAAATCATTCCCTGATAATATAGTTTTAAAAGTATATAAAAATAGGAATGCCATTAAATGGAAAATAAACATTAAATTGTCCATAAAAACATAGATAATGGCATAGTAATATAATTAAAAATAATACAGGCTTTAATGAATACAAATAAAAAAGCCAGTCATCTGGAATTGGTTGTCATCTACTCATGGGTAGAATAACTGCATCCTCATTTTCAGGTAATTCAGTGTAAAAAATAGCTTTTTCTACAGACTTCTTCCTTCTCTTTGGCTTTGGACTAGGAAGCGAATTCTGCTGAGAAAGGCACTGGAAACTCAGCTTATTCTTTGGCTCTTTACGTACTTTAACACTAGGCTTATCCTTGATTTCATTCAGTTTAGTTTCAAAGTTTTCATCTGGATTAGACTCAATCACTTTTGAAATATCTTGAGCAATTTGCTGATCTCTATTAATTTTATCTACTGAAGCAGTATACACTTTCTTGAGCCTAGCAGATGGCAAGTGCAATTTTTCAAATAATTCTGGCATTTTATTTTCTGGAAACAGCACAATAAGGAAGTTTTCAAGCAATACAAAAAGTAAACGGCGATTCAGTGATGGATATTGAAACATGTTGAAAATAAGCATGGCACCTTTAAATGATGTTTCATACCCAATTATATGTTTCAATTCATCTGAAATGATGTAATTTAGAATGTTACAGTTAGAAAGAGAAAAAAAAATCATATAATAGATTTAAATCAGATAGGAGAAAGTATATAAACACATGCAATGTCTTCATGCAATTCTGTGGAAAGTATTTGTTATAATATTTTTCTCATTACATTTAGAATCCACTATAGATACAATTTAAAATTTAGAAAATTTTGATAGAAACTATTTTTTGATAATTTGTTTGTATTGTAATTTCTGGTGCAAAACCTTATAAAGCTCTGCATGAAACCGAGTGAAGCAGATTAAAAAGTAATAATGCATATGTGCAACTATAATACAGTTTAGGCTCGATAAAAATGAGAGTAAAAAAACATTAAATTTACTGGAACAAATTATGAGGTTGTCTTCCTATAAAGTTTTCTAAATCTGGATTGAAACAATTAAATGCTTTAGGAGAAAATATTTAAAACAATGGCATTCTACTAAAATATGACAAATTGTCAAAGCTGCATAACAATTCACAGAGAGTAGATCTCTCTCGCTTTTCAGAAGAAGCTCATGAGTCAATCGATGGTGACAGATTCTCATACGAGTTACAGTATTTTTTACTTTTTGTTTAGCATTAGTAGGGCATTTAGCATTAGTTTAGCATTATAGAGGAGATGTTTTAAAAAAGGTAACTAACACCATCAGGGACAAGACAAGATCTCCTTTCTGTGACAAAGTTATTTTCAACTCTACCATAGTTAGACCTTGATTATAAAATTCAGGAATGGGAGAGTTGAAATTACTAAGATGTTTTTCAAAGAGGAGCTTTGCGAAAAAAAATGCAGGGTGATAGATACTATTATTTGATATGGCTGAAAACAGTCATGACTCAGTAGTACTTGATTGGCTATGACATTGCCTCTGCACAAAGCTTTTTTTGATAATTTGAGAGGAGAATGAACGTGATATATGGCTATTTGTACAATTTAATGCATTAAAAATATCTGAAGTTTTCTATAAATCACATAGTGAAAAAACACCGTTTGTATACAAAACATTACAAGATGCATGCATAATACTGAAAATTAAATAAATAGTTTAAAAATAAATAAATTAGGGAATTTACAATTTATATTTTAATAATAAATTAAGTACTGAAATTAAACAAAATTCATATAAAACAGTAGTTGTTTCATTTATTTTTATAACTGAAGTTATTATCAAGGCTTCAGATTACAAATAAATGAAAAACCCAGATGTATACAATCAGTCTGCTTTATCTTAAATTCATTCCAATCATACAAACTAAACAGAATCAATATTACATCTCCCACTTTGTTACAAAATTCTCAAACATATAAATGTTTCAAAATATTTAATACAGTCAAAAGTCTTTAATCCGGACTCGTCGGGACTTCGACGATTCCGAATTATAGATCATAAGTTTAAATCTGGTAAGATGGCATGCAGAAATTATAAAATTAAAAATATGAAAGCGTAATTTATAAAATAATGAGCAATTATGATCTAAAGGGTATCAAAATTTACAAAAAAATAAGCTTAATATTTATTTGTTTACTTTACTAAACATTTCTTTAAACGCGCGTATGCGTAAAGCATACCCTACGCATAGCCGGAATTACAAAATTGCAACCAGAAAACTATTTGATTTGTATTCGTGATATTTATAATGACGAGAAATTTGATTTTAATCATATCAAAGACGGAGTACATCGAGATTAAATACTACATTTAATACGGAATTATAAGCCGAATAAAATAAAAACATCTGCCCTAAAGATAACGATAGTGCTGACAGATCAACTTCCAGTTCATAGCGCGCCGCGACGTCTCCCCCCCCCCGCGCAGAGCAGCGTGAAATTGATAAACAGATGTCGGAACGGTTATATAAACAAAGGATATGCTTTTATCCATTTTTTATAGCAATTCGTTTTTTGTTTGATGGACATCGAAGCATACTTTCGTTTTCTAGATCCTTTGGGAGCTCCAACATCGGAAATTCTATTTGACATCATCGAAAGTTCAAGTTTACTTTTATAAAATTGCTCTTACAGTCTGCAAAAAATAATAAGCCGGATCCAATTCGAAGATTAAGGAACAACGCAATCATCAACATTAACTGAAATAGATAATTATATAATTTTAGCTTATACCGTCCGTTTTACATTAAACGCGCACGCGAAAACGTATTCTGCGCTTGCGCAGACACATATGCGCAGTCGTAAATGTCTTGCGTGCACGCGTAAAACGCCTATGCGCATGCGTCAACGCGGCGCATGCGCAAAAAGATTTTAGCTTTGAGGTCCGGATTATAGATCATTCCGGATTATGGGTGTCCGAATTAACGACTTTTGATTGTACAAAAACTGTTCTACTGGGCTGTTGTAAATGAAATGGATGATTGAAAAAGAACAAAATAAAAATAATATTTATTTAATCAAAGTTTTCCTAAGCAGCATCAGTGCATTTCTAGAAAAAAAAAAAGTTCAAGTGCTGGAAAAATTATAATTCTTTGATAGAAATATTATGAAAAAAATTGTGCCTTCTTGTTTTACTGCATAAGAAAGTAAAACAAGAAGGCACAATTTCTCATGCCAAATTGCTGATTTGTTGAATGGATTTCAGTGTCATGTGTGGTCAGATGCTATCCTTAAGCAATAGGACTATCTATCTTAAAGTGTTGGTTCATTAAGGCTCAATTTGTCATCTATTTGCCACATATCTATACAATACTGAGCTGCACTTGTCTTTTCTGTTTGTGGGAGGAATGAGTAATAAACACCAACAGAAAACCACAAGATGGTAAATAACATCTTCTTTGGATACAATGATACTTTGGACTCCTTCTTGAAGTACATTTCACTTCTAACTTACTACAATGGATGTGTAAAATTGTTAGAGAATATCTATTTTTCATCCATAGCCAGAATTTGTTGAACTTTCTTTGGTTACTTTTTCTAAAATGAGAAAAGCCCCATGCTTTGTTTTCATCACAGAATTCAAGAAGCATCTACTTATTGAGCTTTTTTACTTTTCCTATTAATGACAAGTGCCACAATACAATTTAAAGGTATACATTTAGTGTCTGGATGATCTCTTGTAACAATACTGAGCTGGCTTTAATTCAACTGAATCTTTTAATTCATTTTGAATTAATGGAAGAAACATGATGACCACACAGTTGATTTCATAATCCCACATAAATTTTCTGAGCGTAATCTTTCAAACTAATATTGAGTAGATCTCTCATTAGCTGTTCCACTCTTCAATGATTTATCGATCAAGACAGAAGAGAACATGCCTAACTAAAACATAAAATTAGGCAAAGGAACAACCTTGTATTTGGCATAGATTTAGCAATCACCCTCATTTATTTTGAGGGCAAACAGGTACAAGTCCCTCTTAATTAGCAGCAAAGAAATCTGCAATGGGGAAAAGGAAACACCACTGTTGTATTTATACTCAAAAGGAGTAAAGCTAATGAGAAGGTGGCATCATTTATCAGCAGAAATAGTAATAATGGCAAAAGTAAAATTGAAAAATTACATTAATAGAATTTTAAAAGCTAGAAAGGACACGGTTGGAATTGGGAGTAATTAACTAACAAGCTAAATCTTTGTGAATATCGACAGCTTCAAGAAAATCCAATTCACCAATGGAAGAAGTTTTTGGGATAATTTCTGTAGACCTGAAGTCATAAACTGTGATTAAATTTCCAATTATGACTAACTATTACAAGTCTTGTTAATTTTGCCTTTTCAGACATAAGATTCGTGTTCCTTGAAGCAATACTTTAACACTCTTTTATTTCTATTTTCTTTATTTGTCTCTCCCTCTTTAATATCTTCAACACTCTTTATTTCTTCCTTTTAGTTATTTCGTCCCTTTAGTTTGGCTGGTAAGTCCAAGACCACACTGAGAAAATATCCTATAAATTCCCCAAGAATTAAATTCAGAAATGGAATTTTTAAGAATAGAACCATGCATTTTATTGATAGGTGAGAAAATGATTTAAAAATTGAACTTCTGGAAAATCCATGCAATTTCGTATCTGTATGAAGAATGAAATAAAAGCATGGCAAAGTTATTAATACTGTAACATCTTCTTTCACGGAAAGAAAAAAAAAATTAAGGGCCTTTATCAATGACCACAAGAGAAAATCTTGCACCATGGCAGAAATTCAATGAAAACTGATTTCAAATAATTGAGTTCATTAGCAAGCAAGGATTCTGAGGAACAAAGTTACACAGATAGTTCTAGTGTGGTTTGCCATAATCAACTACACTAAAACTGAAAAAGGAGACATGTTTTGCTTAGTTGGGTGACATGACTTAGCATGGGGAGGTAAACAAACAGTAAAGGGTTTATGGTAAACAATAGTGTTGAAACCAGATTCATTGTGATCATATGAAATTCTTGAAAGATCTCCATTTTTCCCCTTAAATGCAAGCATCAGAATATCATTCCCAAATTTATATAAGTCAAATTTAGTCTTAATCTCCTGTTCATGTTTAAAAAACTATGCATAAATTCAAGCTGTTACTAAATCATCATAGTATAAGAAACACACGCAAACATTGGTCTAAAACTGAATATGAATTATAGTACCTTCATTTAAAGCTGTCATCTTTACCTATGACATTATTTGAAAAGGCTTTAAAAACTCATTAAAAATTTGGTAATTCTACTTTAAAGGTTTCCTCATTTGATCATAAATCTCGGTCTACAACCGATACCGATTGTCAACTACATAAAGAAGTCCTTGTTTCTAAATTCTAAAAGCTCTCACTCCAGTCAACTAGTCCCACCCATCTTCTTAATCTCCCCACAGTAAATACTAAATCAAGCAAATAAGGGTTAAAATATCTGATTACCTATGTAGCTATACATTAATCACTGTTGTGATTAATATTTTAAGCATTATACAGATAATGTTAAAGTATGCCTTATATGACCTCAGATTACATCAAGATTCTATACTGAATGCAAAGTATATCATTCTTATTATTCAAGGATAAAATATTTATTAATAGACATATGATGGCATGATTCTGATTTAACTCACCAGGGATAGCACTGAAAAGCAATGTCTTTGCAGCAATGCATGTTCTTAACTTTGTATTTTGGTCTCTTTCTGGTGATGGTCCAGCCAACACCCCATCAGGCCAAACACTAGCACTGTAAAAATCTTTAACTTAGCATTACAAATTAAAATGACTTTGGGGTAATTTGTTATTATTTTAAATAGCACTACAGTGCAATCATTTTTATTTTTATTAAAACCAAATCAGCTCGTAGAGTTAATATGCAGAGCTGTTGACTAGTTACCTTAAATATATTCATTTAAAAAATAGTCCATGTCCGTATATAAGAAGAACTATTAAACCCTTTCACACTGTAAAAAATTACAGACATAATTCTGGTATGTCGTTATGGAAAACACATCCAACTGGCATTTGGAAGATCTTAGGTTCAATTTTTAGGTAAGGTGCATTTACTTTTTAACATTCTGCTCACTAGAAACTTAATGACTCTGCAATACAATGAATTAAAATATGGAAACAGATTAAGCTCATAAATCTAAGTATGAACAAGTGACCATAAAGTTAGATAATAATAATTTTAAAAAAATTTGAAAGCTTTCAGATTTTATATTACGCCCAAATGGGTATTTTTTTTCATTTACAGATACATACATGTTATGTTTTGAGAACATGTCACATTGTGATAAAAACTTTTAAAAACAACATATGTTTAGAATTTTTGATAGACTGTCTTATGCACTGGAGAAGAAAATGTTTTATTCTCTACAGCGTTGCCACTGTTCGCTCTGAAATTAATGAGCTTTTTTAATAAAAAATTCATTAAAATTTTATGAAATATGAAATAAGACAAAAGAAATTTCTAATTCCGGCTTCCAGGTGCCTACATTTGGGTGAAGCACTATGTTATTCACAATTTGTTGAATCTAGGTACCATTGTTTTTCCTCAATGTGAGAAATGTACATACATTCATGCACAGATTCTCCATTATTTAATTTCTTTACAATACAGAACGATAATATTTGGTGGCAAAAATTTGAAAAAGGATTCAGCGCTTTTAGAGATTCAGGGAAGGGGGAAAAAAAAAAAAAAAAGCCATTTTGAGACTAAGCCTTTCTGGGCTAAAGAAAAGAAAAAAAAATATACAGTTAGAACACACTGTTATGTTATTTCATGTTCAAGTGCTGTAAAAATAATCTAATAGTCTTCTATCCATAAACTGGTTTTAACTTTACAGGATATTTCAAGTATTCCATATTTTTACAATTTATAATAAAACAGTAGATGTATTTCACGATACAACTTTCATTTCCCATTTACTTTAGTTATAAAAGAGGTGGTATAAAAATGGTAATTCACAAATTTGTTCAGGAGTAATTTTGTTCTATGTGTTTTTCTAGTACAGTAATTTACCATATTAAAACAAAATTTAAAAATAGTGTTTTCTGATATCTTAATGACTTCAAATGTATTTACTTCTATACAATTATTAGTAAGAACTGGAATTTATTAAGAACTTTCTAAAATTTCAAGATACCCAATAGTACCAAATAAAGCATCAACTGAAAGACATAACAAATGTTATGGAACATAAATAATAATTTATCATATTAAAACAGCATTTAAAAATAGTGCTTTCTGATATCTTAATGACTTCAGATGCATTTACTTCTACACAATTACTAGTGAGGACTGAAGAATTTATTAAGAACTTTCTAAAATTTCAAGATACCCAATAGTGTTACCAAAGTAAAGCATCAACTGAAAGACCTAACAAATTTTATGGAAAATAAATATTATAAAAACTACTATTACTCATTGCTACAAAATTTATCACATTTTATTAAAAAAAAAAAATAAATACAGAAAATGGAACATACCAAAAAATTTTTAACCACTCTGCTATTTGAGTGACACTTGTCAGACCTCGTATGTATTCTTTTATTTTTCTACATGAAAGTGTAAAACATAAATTAATAATAAGCTTTAAGTAAAGCAAAGTTATTATACTTTGTAATGTAATGTTTTAATATAAATTTAATGTTTACTCTTAATTAGCTTATGCAAAAGAGAAAATGGATTTTTCTCTGTTGTACAAATGTTTTATCATCTCTGACAAATTAAAAAAATACTTAATAGACTCTGAAAATATTAATAGTTAGAAAGCTTTAAATAGTACTTTTATAAAAAATATTTTTTTATTACAAATTAGTAAAAAAAAAAAAAAAAAAAAAAAAAAAAAAAAAAAAAAAAAAGATATAAGCTTAAATACAAAGTTTAATATTAAACATGCATAGTATTTGATTTATGCATCATGCAGCACTTCTGGTTTCACATATTATTAGTTTATAAGGCTGTAATGGTAAATATTTAACTTTTTAAAGAATTTGTTCTTATAACTACTGCCAAAAGTCAACTTTTTTCACACAATAAAGTTTGCTTATAGGTTCATTTCATATATAGTGAGAAAATTTATTTTGTTGCTCAGAATATCATATTACATCCTTCTACTTGCTTCTCAGTACTTAATCTGTTAAAATATATAATAAATACATTATACAAAAATAAGATTTAATTTTCTGAATTAAAACACCATTAAAAATTCTGCACACATGATTCAAATATTTATAAGCCACACAGAATGAAAAATAATTCGATACATAAGAAATTGAAAATTGCTTTCAGAATATTTAAAAAAACAGTGATTTTTCATTTACCTGGTAACATTATCTTGCAGATATAAACACAATCTAAAGTTTAAATATTATATGAATCATTATTTCTTCATATTCATGATTAAAAATACAGCACACTGTTCTACAAAACTTACAAATCTCTCTGCCATTTAATTAACACATCTATAAAACATTGGGAGAAGTTTCAATATTTTCATTAACAGCACACAATAGAAATTTTAATGGATAAAATAAATTACCTATTTATAGCACCCCCTTGCATAGTTTTGATGATTTGTCGAAGCAAAGCCATTATTCGTCTACGGAACCAAAGATCTTTATTCCTTAAATTAAAAACTTCATCCATCAACAAAAGGATTATTCTAAATGGAATATCCTCTGGCTAAGAAAATATGAAAATTCATAAGCCACATGTTTTCTTGTTTATGGAGAGAAAATAAATAATATTATTATACAGTTTTAAAAGCATATAAGATATTTTCTCTCTCTTTCCAGCATGCCTTCGTGGTGCAACAGTTAGCTCACTCAGTGCGTATTCGAGAGGTCCAGGTTCAAGTCATGGGGAAGGCATTGCACATTTTTCAAATCTCCTGCTTCAAAAAACCCTAATGACTACAATGGCACCTGAACTAAAAGGTGGTGGATGATGATTCTTCACCATCAGGATTTGGCGAGTGGGTCCCCCTAATCCCCAGTTGCTCCTTAAAGGGGGATTATATAAGTTATTTTCTCCCTTCTTCCAGTATGCCTTCGTGGCGTAACGGTTAGTACACTCGGCGCATATTCGAGAGGTCCAGTTTCGAGTCCCACTGAGGGCACTGCACATTTTTCATGTCTCCAGCTTCTAAAAAATCTAATGATTCTACAAATGAACTTGTGCAATCATTTAATACTTCTCTGTTATTATTAAAATACAGAATATTATTAATCTTTTAATTTTAAACTTTTAAAATTTGAGAAATATATATATTTCATTTACAAATATTTTTTTTTCTCATTTTTAGATATATTTCATAATTGTAACATTTGTCCAATTTTACAAAATTATTAAAGCAATTGCAGTAAAACTTTCTTTCTAACAGACACTATTTTAAAACTTCAAAAATAACTTAGATGATAAATCCTTCATTTTTAAAATTAAAAATTAAATATAAAATATCTCCCTAGTTTTGAAATGAAAATTGAGAACGTAAAATTTGTACTAATGACAGAAATTAACCATCTTTTCCAACATGCTAAATACTAAAAAACTGACAGTACTATTGAAAATAAAAATGATCAAAATAGACACTGCTAAATTACATAAATAGATAAATAAAAATGAACATATATTCTACTACCTTACCCTAGAATTTTTAAAAGGCAAAAATTTTCCATCAGGAACATCACACGAATCAATTTCACTATTTCTGAAAATGTTTCTAACAAGACCACCTTTTAACTCAAAAAATGTATCAGGCACCATTTTTACTATTTGGCTAACTGTTTTAACAGATGTTTTGAAAGGATTCACAACCTGTAAATAAATTAAAAAAAGAAAATATTAGATATATAATTGAAATATATTCATAACAGGTGAAACAGGAATTTTCAACTTGATGCAATGACATGATAAAAAACAGAATAATTAATGGAATCCAATGAACCAATAATATATTCAACTGATCATCTGAAAGATAATATGCATAAAAATAAAACTGGTTCATTCTTATTATTAAGTATTTGATTTTTTAGCATATTAAAAGAAAACAATATAATTGGTACTTGGGTATTAGTCAATACTCACTAATACCCCACCAATATTACAATCCTTGATTTTGCTTTTCTCCGAGCACTGTGAGAACATCACATTTTTCGATAATCTAATGAATATAATAGTTGAAGAAACTAATAATTTCTATTAAAAAATGAGTGAAAATAAATCTTCATCCAAACTCAACATACTCCTCTAGATGTGCCTAAAATGACAGGATCCTAGGATTTAATCATTCTGCTAGGATGGAATAATTAAAAAGGTTCAACCTGATAATGTGTTTCATAACTAATGAAATAATATCGATTAGAATATCACACATTGTCTCCTTTCTGAATCATTTAGACTATAATATTTGATCATATATTTTATTATTTTTTATGAATGTTTAGATAGAGATTTAAGCAAGTTTTTTTTTACATTTCATTAAGATGAGTCAAATATTTTAATTTGCATTTAGATTTTAATTAAATTTTTTTCAGAATCTCTAGATATTCTGTATTTATGATTATATTAGTTTTAGATACTAAAAAATCAAAACAATTGATAAAAAATACTTTTAATGAATTTTTTTTAAGCTAGGCTTAGCGATAAGAAATATCCCATCTTGCAAGATCGTACTACAGCAACAACACACTGTCTCAAGGTGAGTTGCGCTAAATGGCATGCCATCTCATAAGAGGATTAATTGCTGATTGCATACAGTGGCTCCCAAAAGTGTTCGTACACTTATGATTTTCTTTGAAATAGGGCTCTATCCATTAAGTAAACTTTCTAAATGAGATTTTGATAATAAGATCTATAATCTATTCGTAACAAAATTACATGAAATATTTTTTAAATATAGCGAAACTTTATTTTTAAGAAATAAATAGTAAAAAAATGACAAACATTTTATCTCACAAATATCTTCGTACACTGAAATATTTTTAGATAAAATCAAAATTAGAATTATTGTTTGCCGCTTTTTTAAATTTTTGCATTGTAGTGGCATTTAAAAAATCGTGTGCTTTAATTTTTTATTGTTTACTTCATAATATTTTATTCATTATTGAAAAATGGGTCGGACGGAGTCATAAAGAAATTACAAACAGCATTCGAAAATTGATAATTTTTCACCATAGTACTGGTAAATAAATTCAAAATATCGCTAAATTAGTTAATTTATCCCATTCTACCATGCAGTATGTGATAAAATGCTTTAAAGAAGAAAATCAAATTGAAAACAAGGTAAGAAAAGATCGACCGAGAAAGTTAACTAAACGTGATGAGAGATTTATTATTAGAAAATTTATGAAAACCCCATGTTTGAGTGCTGTAAAAGTTTCTGCAGAATTTAATGCAAAGTTTTCTACTTCAATTTCACCTGAAATTGTTCGACGAGTTTTCAGAGAAGCTGGATTACATGGGCGTTCTGCGCATAAAAATTTTTTTGTTAGTGAGAAAAAAAGAAAGCTTAGGCTTTCATTCACAAAATCAATGATAAATATAACCGAAATGTACTGGAATGATGTTCTATTTGCTGATGAAAGCAAATTTAACATTTTTGGTTCTGATGGTCGAACAACTGTATGGAGAAGTAATAATGAGGAACTTCATTCTAAGAACTTAGTTGGAACAATTAAGCATGGCAGTCGAGGTGTTCTTGTGTGGGGGGGTGCATGGCAGCATCAGGACTATGTAATTTGGTATTTATTGATGGCATAATGAATCATTCTCTTTATTAAAATATTTTAAGAGACAGCAGCCCAAAATTTGGGTATTGGAAGCAACTTTATTTTTAATCATGATAATGATCCTAAGCATACAGCTCTCAACGTTCGCCTGTGGTGTCTCTATAATTATCCACAGGTTTTGAAAACACCGTCTCAGTCACCAGATTTAAACCCCACAGAACACATTTGGAAAGAACTAGAGGTTAGAGTAACCACAACACGTCATCAAAACGAAAAGCAAACTCAAAACAATCATGATGGAAGAATGGATGAACACTGGCACAGAAATTACAAAAAAACTAGTAAAATATATTCCCAGATGCTCAAAGGCTGTTGTGGATGCTAAAGAATATCCTACTAAATATTAATTTAACAAAAAATTTAAATATTTACTAATATGTCAAGATTTTTTTGAAGTGTACAAAGACTTTTGTGAAATAAAATGTTAGTCATTTTTTGATTATTAATTTCTTAAAAATAAAATTTCGCTATATTTAAAAAATATTTCACGTAATTTTGTTATGAATAAATTATAGATCTTATTATTAAAATTTCATTCAGAAAGTTTACTTTTAATTAATGGATAGAGCCCTATTTCAATGAAAATCATAAATGTAGGAATACTTTTGGGAGCCACTGTATATGATACGCTCGTCCTGAAGCGGTTAAAACTTACTACTGCTTATAGCATATTTTAGCTAAAAGAAATTACTCATTAGAAATGCATTTTGAATTAAAACTATAATTACTTACATATTTGTGACAAAAATGTTCAACTTACTGATCTTATAAAAGACTTCTTTTTGTTTTCAGACACATTAGGTTGAAGGAAATTATAAACCAGAAGATTTAGACCATCACATACAGCAAGCATTTCAGGTGAAAACAAAAACTGAATAAAACCATTCAACATATGTCGTCTTTTCTCCATAAGCTGACGACTTAAATTATTGAAAGGTTTCTTTGGTGGAAAATTGTAAGAAGCTAAAACTGGATACTGAAAAAAGATGAAAAATATATGCAATACTTAAATTTAAATTAGAGAGTGAGCAATAACAGAAATATTTAACAATTTTATGCCACAAAATTCAATAATTAATAATATACTATCAATAATTTTAGATTACAAATTAAAAAACATGATTAATGCATAAAATATATTTAATACATTTTGTTTTGTAATTTATTAAATAATAAATGAATTCAAGTACTTTACTATATTTTAACTAGAAAAATTAATCTTATGGAAGTTTAAAGTAGATTTTTAAATTTAAACAAAGATTATAATTTTTTTTAAACTTAATTTATCTATTACACAAAATCAAAATTCTAATTATTAAGAGACAGAGATTAAGACAGATATTGAGAGAGACAGCCATTTTTCATAGATTTCTGTTCTATTAAAATGCCAGCTTTAGTCATTATCAAAATAGTTTGATTACACACCTTTAGCTTTTTAATATGCAGGATACTTCTAAACTATGGCAACAAACATCAAGAGATGACAGAACATAGCAAAACAAATACTTATTACCATAGAATATATGTTCGCAAGTGGAGTGGTTAAGCAATCAGCCTTTTTTTTTTCCCCATGTAACCCTTTCACCATTGCTAGAAGATCACTCTCCCCTCCTTTCCAAAACATGAAAAGTACATATATATTAAGATTTATATTATTTTCTAATGTGTTTTATAAATTAAGCAGCATATAAATCTAGAAAATGTTGGTAAATGCCACAACTTGAACAGAAGTAGTTTTTGTATTCATAAACTAAAACCAAATATTTAATAGCTAAATAAAAGGCTGTCTGCATTCCGCCCTGGAACTCTGAAATTTTCTCCTAGGGGGAATTCTTTCCTGGTTAAGAACCCCTGTGCTGGAAGATGTAGTCAGGCACACTTACGAAAGTGGTGGTTTTTCATGCAAGTTCAGCAGCAGCTGGGAATGGATTAATGTATGGATGAGCAAAAAGTTGATATGCATTTTATGATCTGGCCAATGGTAACAGCAAGGCATATACAAAGGATTTACCAAGAATACATCTCTAACAGATGTATTCCAAGTTACAAGATATCTGCATGCTTGCACTGTCAACTTTCAAAAAAAGCTTCCATGCTGACATGCATTGCATAAGTTGTAGCAGAAGTGTTCAAACATAGGGGCATATCAGAAAAGATTATGCGTTAAAGAGGACAGCAGCCTGATGTTACAGGCTATCACACGGGTGTATCACATATCAGGATATGGTAAGCTTGTACTAAATTTTACATCTATACATGTGCACTGCAGATGAGAGTTCCAGCCTAAAAATCACCCTGTACATACTAAATTCGCATGCTGGTTCCTGCAGCAGAGTAGAATAAACCTGAAATTTCTAGCATGCATTGTTCATGGATGAAGCCATATACATCTAAGAAGATGTTTTCAATAATTTTCAAACACGTTCACATATCTCTCCATGACATTATACAGTGACTACAGGCCCATACTAATTACTAGAACCATCTGCCTGAAACAAGTTATGCCCCATTCTGTCAACAATTATTGGAAATGTGGCAGTAAATACCATTAGCAATCCACCAAAAAATATGGCTCCAGCAGGATTCCATACAAGCACATTTTAGCACAACAGTGCATGCTTATGTTTTAAGGTGAGTGGACTGGCCAAGGCACAGCCATCACCCATGCTTGCGTATTCTTTCTCCCCATAGTTCCTTTTTATGGATAATATGAAAGACTCTCAATGAGTCCAATAAGATTTTGATTGCCAGGTCACATGGGAATTCTTCGTAAGTTGACAATAAGAAGCCTCCAAAAAGAGTGGCAGTTGTCATTTTGTAACAGCTCTTGTGAATGTATTTCATTTCAGCAGTTATTAATGTTTGCATATGTGATTTAATTTGTATCTCTTGCTCATTGCATTAATTTCAAATTTATGCAATTATGAATTATTATTCTATTTATGAAATATGCAGCAGTGACATTCATGATAGATTGATGACAAACTTAATATCTTCTTACTTTAAGACTATTTCATTTTGGTGAAACATGAATATATTAAGCCACTGAATGTTGTTCAGAATGGTTGAATATTATTGCTGCATAGCAGGTAATTCTTATGAAATACAAATTGATTAGCATAATATAAAGGGAGCATAATATGGATTCCTTCAGAAATAAGAGGTAAGAGATCAGATGAATATTTATATTGCTAAGCTAGTGAACAAAGTTATAAAATAAATTGTAGAGCATGCAAAAGAAAGTTGTCTCCTTATTTACCCACACTTTTCTTATGAAAATATTTGAAAACTAATTATTGCTCATTAGAAGATTTTAACAATAAAATTAACTGAGCAATCTTGATTGTTGATAAGGACATGCTACAGAGGACCTTTGATAACAGAAAGCACTATTTTGTCTCCGAGTATCAATAAAGGATAATTTCAGTAATTTTTACATAGGGTACTTTAGTTCCTTACAGTACAGAATACTGTAAACTAAATGACATTTTTATGTAAAGTGTGTTCCAAATTATGGCCGATTGTTTAGAAGACCTATCCCATAAAACACCCTGTATAAAGCAAAGACATCAAACTGCTTTTCATATTATAAAACAGTAATTTTTTTTTTGTTCATTTAAATGCATTAAACTGTATTTTAAAAAGTTCAATTCATGCAGCTAATAAAAGTACTTGGCATTCTCAGTTAAAGGTGCAATAATAATTGCATGCCAAAGCACCAAATATAGTAAATGTTTACATAATGAGTAGACATGTTATATCGTAGAGAAAAAGCAAAAACAAATGTTGGCCTAGTACTTTTTTTCCTCAGAGAGTTTTTTTTTTTTTTTTGAAGAACTGATTTTTTTTTTCCTCAAAGAATTAATAAGGATTATATTGCATAAACAGCAACTATCCCAAATAGCTAAGATTAAATTATTTCAAGACAAACATATCAGCAGTACTGAAAGGCTTTGTCTGAAAAACTACAAAATGAAATTGTATTTTATTACTAACAAAGAACTAAAAAATTTCTGCAATAAAAGATCATGACAAAAGAAAAAAGATTTACAGAGCAGATGTTGGTTCAAAGGTCTGTACATTTCTTTCCTAACAGCTTTTCTGTTTATTTACTATTGGTGTTAAGAACTCGCATACGTAACATTTTATCAACTACAGTTAAGAATGAATCAACAGCTTTGACTACAAAAATTACATGTATTCTTCAGTTAATTTTTTTATCACATTTCTGCATTTATCTATGTTTCTTATATTTGTTTTCGATTTAATGAAATAGCCATTCTTTTCATACAACTATGTATATTGTTACAAAAATGTAACAACTGGTGTCAGAAGTGGGATTTACGAGTGAATGCCAGCGACCCGCCTACAAAAAAAGGCATATCGGAGGAAATCGAGTTAACGGACTTCTTAGCAACTGTAAAAGCTGGACTGGAAGAGATAAAGGCTGAGATAAAAGCCAGAAATGAAGTGTTGTGAAAGCCAGATATGAAGAGATGAAGGTTGCACCAAGAAGAGTTACTGATCAAAATTAAATCCTGTCGAGAAGAAATAAAGCCAGTTTTCGTCAGAAAACCTGCCTGAGCAACTTCAACCGATGAAAGTGGAGCTAACACCCAATCACGTGCCAGCGTGTGACATTGTGTTATCAGCAAGGATCCAATCACGCACCAGCCTCGTGATGTGGGGTGATGTCTCAGTAGCCAGTCACGCGCTTGCGCGGGAAAATCCTATACTTGTTATTCATTCTCCAGTTCATTTGGCATTGCCATGCAGGGCTTTTTTTTTTTTTTTGCTATTGGCATGAAGTGATAATTAGAAACTATGTATAAATAAGCGCAGTTTCGAGATTATTGTTTTATTTTTATTGAAAAAATAATATTTTAGTATGAGTTATAGAGATGATAGTGCAGGGCCTTCGCACACCGAAAAAAAGAAAAGCTCAATATAAAAAGGCTCTTATTGATGATAAAATAGCAAATTTGTTGGCTGAGCTATCGGATGAGTACCCGAGCAATTTTAGTTATGACAGTGATGAAGAATTCGTTCCTCAGACTGGTACCCATGATATTTTGGATTCTGATGAAGAACGAATCGTGCAAGAGGATGCAAGTCAGCAGGATGATTCAATTATGGAGGAAAACGTTATTTGGGAAAACTATTCAACATCAACGAAAAAATTTCTTTTCATAAAATCCGAGTGTTTGCTCCAAGCTGTTTCAGTTTCAGGTAACAATCCTATAGATTTCTTTCGTCATTTTTTCACTGATGGTATCTTGGAAGACATAGTTACTGAAACTAATGATTATGCTCATAAATGATTCACCATGAAAAAAAGAAACACTCTTGTATTAGTGCTTGGAAGGACACTACAAAAGAGGAACTCTTGGCATTTGTGGTCATACATATGGGAACTATACGAATCAACCATATACAAGATTACTGGAAAACAGATTCACTGTTTGGTTTACGTGCATTTTCAGAAAATATGAGCAGGAATCGGTTTTTGTTGTTACTGAAGGCATTGCACTTTGCAAAAATCTCAAATCAGAATACAGAGCTTCCAAAGGATCGATTGTATAAAGTAAGAGACATGGTGAATTTGTTCAACGTACGAGTATCTGAAATATATTACCCAGGGCATGAGATTAGTTTAGATGAATCGATGGTATTGTGGCGTGGATGGCTTATATTCAGACAGTATATACCAAATAAATGTCACAAATATGGTATCAAGTTGTATATGATCACAACCCCTGATAATACGAGTCCGAAAAATTATGGTATATACAGGCATGTTGGATGATTCTGGTGGAAAAGAACATGCAAAAAAAGTCGTTATGAATTTACTTGAGGGAATGCTGGATGTAGAACACAGCATATTTATGGACAATTATTAAAACAGCTATGAACTGGCAATTTTTCCAATCATTCACTTGCAATTTTGCCAATCACGTCTTGCTGATAGGAAAACTCATTGCACTGGGACAATTAGAAAGAACAGAAAGACATTTCTGAAAGTGGTAAATGAAAAAAAAAAACTGAAGAAAGGGCAAACTGTAGCAAAGTATGCTAATGGTGTGATGATTGCAAAGTGGCAGGATAAGAGATGTCCCACTTGCATTTCCAATGAATATAAAAATGATATGGTGGAAATAAGAAACAAAAGAGGTGAAATTAAATCAAAACCTTTACGTGTAATTCAATATAATAAATTTATGGCCGGTATTGATAAGTAAGATCAGATGCTTGCTTATTATCCTTGTGAGAGAAAAACAATTAGGTGGCCCACGAAAATATTGAGCATATTTTGCAAATAATGATGAACAATTCCCACTTTATCTATAATAAGTATTCCAATAAAAATATATCACTGTATGACTACTATTTATCCGTGATACGAAATTTACTGAAACAGCCATCTGTTCTTCTTGCTCCGGTGTGTGATCAGTCCGAATCTGAACATGTGCTGAGTACACGGGAAGAAAAAAAAAAAAAAAGACAGAAAAATTCTAAGAAAGCAATGCAAAAATTGATATTCCCAAGGGAAACGTAAAGATACAATATACGTTTGCAAGTTTTGTGAAGGATCTCCCGAGTACTGCTTAGATTGTTCAAAGATAATACACAAATAACATTCTAGATTTATCTTTTTAAATAATGTCTGTAATTTTCTTGTTAAAAATTCCTTTGTAATATGTATAATTGTCTGTTATACATATTGATATAAAAATAATGCATACTGTCACTTATTTTTCCTATTTTAATTTATATTTTACATTCCACATGCCAGCGCGTAATGTGGCGTTTGGGGAAAATTTTGATATGTAGTGCCAGTCACACGCTGGTGCATAATTAAAAAATTCTTTAATAAAAGGCTTAATACTTAGGTATCACATAATTATCTTTTATTAATATTTTTAAATCATATTTCTTATGGTAAGTATGTTGGCATCTAGATACAATATAGCTGTAACCATCAATCTAACTCTAGTGACTGGCAGTCAAAGTGCTAAAGAAAAAAATTGGATCAAAAATAGAATATGTCAAAATGACAGTAGTAGTATCTGTAGAATCAAAGGTGAAGAAATGAAGGAAGTAGCTGGTGAAGTGTTCGAGAAAGATCAAGAAGTGATGGAAGAAACATTTATAAGATTAACCTTTTTGCGACGATGAACCTTTGTTTAAGACGCTCGTGCGGGACGGAAGGGAATCGAAGGCAGTCACTGTATAGGACGGAGATTCTGCATCACTAAGCCTAATTTTATAAAAAAAATCAGAAAAAAAAAAAAGTTTCACTTCTAGCATCATAATTTTTGGTATCCTTTTAGATTATTACTTGAGCTCTTATATATGTTAAAATTAGCATTTAATAGCGTTTTTTTTTTTTTTTTTTTATTTTACATGAAAATATACTTAAAAATTTCCTTATATTCTAAAATAAGTTTCTTAAGCGCTATTCAAATTATTCCAAAGTTATAATTGATAAAATTAATCAATAAAGTTTAAAATTAATAAAACAACACAATAAAGACTATTTTCAGTAAGAAGTAACAAAATTTAAAATGAAGCCCGTGTGTGGTAAATCTCAAAGCACGGAGACGTATCACTTTCTAAATCTTTAAAAAAAGAATCATCACTCTCAACTGCGTTAGTAAATGGTTCATTAACCATATGAGGGTATTCTTCCACTGATAAATAGCAAATAGCGCCTTCCTGCCATAATAGACTGGAGGTGAGGCTTTCCGAAATAAAAAGAGAAGAAACAGAAATATATCTGAAGGCAATGCAAAACGTAACAGAACTCCACATATTAATCCTAAAAGACCATATAGAATAGAATAAAAAAGGAATTGGATATAAATCAGACATGCGAATATTTATATTAGCACACGACGTTTTAAAGAGCCTACTTCTATTTATGCTTTCCCTCCTCCCCCCACCCTCGCAACAGTTGATGAGTAAAATACCAGTCAGACAGAATATATCAAACTCAAGGTCAGGAACCTAAAACTGTGTTCATTTCAAAAGTAACGGACATAGAATGCCATCTAGTGGCCTTCAGAAAAATGTTCCAGCTTAATCTCTAGCGATGCGTGGATGGGACGCCCGGCTGTAAGAGACATTCTTAGGGAATGCGTATATGGGACGCCCGTCCTGAAAGGGTTAAAGAAAAAGAATGAAAAACAAAGAAATAAAAGATGTGAAAAGAAGCTTTTGATTCTCAAGTCTCTGAAGAAAGTGAAAATGTGACTGTTAAGTTGGTAGAAACTGATAGTGGAGTTATTAACTTGCATTGTTCAAAGTATTGAACCATCTGAAAGTGCATGCAATGCAGAGATGGGAGAAGCTGATGTACAGCTTAAGCAGAGTGTTCCAGTATGGAAAGAAAATACATAGACTTCACAAACTAAGCATGCATCTCATAATACAAGTTGTAAAGACACAAACTTTATTCTACACCAAGATACATCTGTTTGTAAGATATCGGATTCCATTCATAAGTGTAACGCCAAATTTCGAACTGGTTCCCTGGAAATAGAGGAAAATAAGCATATACCAACTGCTAAAACTACTGAGGTGAACTAGACACATGCTGCAAATAAACTACAGAGAGGTGAACAAACTGTTTCAGATCTTCCTGTGGATGAAACATATGAAAGGACTGAATCTTCAGACAGAATATCTGATATGCAAAACAGAAATACATCTGAGAATTGCAGTGTAAAAGTATTTAACCCAGGTATAACTTAATGTAAAGACTGACACTGAAATTCATTCTGAACTTTAATTTATGTAATTTAAAATTATTATGTGGTTAATTTATGTATATAATTTGTGCACAGTGTAAATATTTGTTTCTTTAGTTATGTTATTTGTTTGTATCGAATTTGGCTTCTGACCAAGGATTGTACTGCTCGGGACATGCAGCCCTTGTGGGAGGGGGTACCCTGTAAAGTGGGAGGGTTGCTAGAAAATGGCAAGGGAAAGGCAGGGTTGCCATATTTGGTGACAAAACTGGCAATATGTCATAGACGGACGGAGAACCTTCTAGAACGGGTGAGAAATCGCCCATTTGGCGACAAAATCAGCAATATGCCAGATGGATGGAGAAACTTCTAGAACGAATTCTTACCAGTTTAGACCAGAATGTTCTCGAATGTGAGTCAAAAAGCTATATAAACCCTGCCTATACACGGAGTAGGGGTCAGTTAATAGTCAGTGAGTGAGTGTCTTGTCAGAGTCAGTCAGTGTCTCCTCTATCAAGTTGATCGCAAGTTAGTGCCTCGTCGAGTTTTTTTTTGAGTGTGTTGAGCTCCGAGAATTACCGAACCGAGTCAGGAGCTGTATTCTAGTGTTTATCGTCGAGTGCATCACAAGTTTTAGTGTGAAGAGTCTCGAGAGTATGTAGAGTTCCGAGAACGACTGAATCGAGTCGAGAGGTGTATTCTGGTGTGCTGCCGTGAAGCTGTCTCCAACGTTGAAGCCTGAAGGCTGCGATTGATTGTTGCTGATTGTTTCAACATGTTTGTCATAGTTTTTGATGACTGTAAATGTGTTTTGGAACTGTTGTGAATAATACTGGCTAATAAATTGTGTTTTCTTTTTTCATCAAGTGTTGTCACTAATCACTCCAAATTAATGAACCCATACAAGAAATGCAATAATGTTATTATGGCTGTCATTTCAATCTCTAGTTAGATTTTGCAGCAAAATTTAAGTTTGTGCCCAGTGGCAGCCAATTAACCAAAAAGTATCGAGTATCTGAGTTAATAAGTGTTCTTGAAATCTTAATCATAACATAAGCCTTCGTATGACCAGATTTTACTCATATCATAAAAATCTACAAATTTCACAACTAAAGTATGTGTACCTTTGGTATAATAATAATTTTTAAAAATAGTTGACATAAAATATTAACATTTTAGGAACATTTTTATCATTCTTGGAACAGCAGTGGTAATTTTTAAGAAATACCTTAGACACAAGTAATTCATGGAAATCATAGAATTCACTGTAGCGGCGAATGACAAACCACTTTTCTTCAGGACCATCAATCCGTTGATGACAAACAGATATTGCATAAACAGCAAAAGTTCTCCCAGCATGATGAGTAATTCCTATCACCAAAAAAGATGACAATTTTTTTATGTATGTAAGAAACATAGCTCCTGATACATATATTACATTTATTAAAAAACCGTACCACTTCAACAAAGCCATTCTCTATATTTTGCTTTGTGAATACACATTATTAAGCTAACATCTATGAATTTTAAATTCTTTAATTTGTCAAAACGGCTATTAAAGTTAACTATAAAAATACTGTATAAATTTCGTATATATATATATATATGAATAATTTTGGTGAAATTATATGTAAAACTGTAGTATTTTTTGTATAATGTAATATGAAAATCTGAAGAGGGGAAGCTTTACTGGAAAAATAAGAATACATGGGCAAGTCTAACATTGAATAAATGGCTATTTCTCTAAATTGGTAAGGTATCGCCAAGCTGGAGCTGGTTTTCGAGAATTTTTGCTGCCAAATTTGGTGAGAAACCACAAAACTTGGTGACATCTTGGCCCCCCCTGTATAACTGTAATCGGTATTCAATTGGTATTGTGAATGAATAAACATTATTAATCACTATGTGTAACTGTAACCATATCTGGCTTTCATATGCCTTCCAGTAATTTCGAGAAGTGGAAAGTACAAGAGATATCTTAGCAGCCATGGGAAGAACCATATAAGACGAGACAGAGCATTAGTTTCCGAATTGTTTAGTTCAGCGCGAGTTCAGAATATTGAGATATCTCTGTGCATTCAGTCTGTGTTAGCTTCGCTCTTTAGATGCGCTTTGCTTCTTAGTAGTTTGAAGTGTAACTGCCAACTGCACTCTACGATACTGTGAAGAGCTCTACAAATATTTTTGTGGAATGCTCCAGAGCTGTGAAGTGTTTCTTTGGTAAAATAAATTTTATCAAGCTATCATCAGTTCTGCGTGCATTTAGTCTATTATGAATCCATATGCACGCAACAATAGATAAAATACAAAGGATCATAAAAGTCAAATGTATATTATGAAATGTTCTAAAATACTTTCTTTTATGATCTCATTTTTAACAGTTTTTCATTTGTTATTTTTTTTTTTTCTACTGCATTTTCTAAGCAAACTATCAAAAGGGAAATACATGATATATAAATGCAAGAAAAATGTTGAGTTTTAAGTTTTTAAATTTAGCTTCTTATTGATCAGTGGTATCAGCAAATACACTCTTTCGCGAAAAAATCGAAGCACCAAGAAGGACTTTTGCGATCATGACAAAATTTGGTATGCAAAAACATCTTGATCAAATGTGCAAATGAACAGGAATTGCAAACACAGTGCACATTTCTAGTGAGCAATTAGCAAAGTAGATATAAAACCAGTAACAGAGGCTGAAAATTAATCTTTTTTGTTGCTGTCATTGTAATTCCGTAAAGAACACTAAAGATGGCATTACAACGATATCCAAGACCTTACAGACAACTAAACAACTTCAAACATGGTCGCATTGTAGGGTTGCATGAAGCTGGGTGGTCATACTGAGCATTAGGCCGCCACTTGCAGCATACAGACACTACTGTGTAAAGATGTTGGCAGCAATGGTTGCTACAAGGAAACTGCCGACGAAATGAAGGGTCTGGAAAGCCAAGGATCACAAATGCGAGGCAAGATAGGATGATTGTTTACCAGGCCCGAACCGCCCCAACAGTATTATTGTCGACTATTCAACACACTACAGCCATGTCTTTTCCTCCTGTGGTATCATCCACCATCTCATGGCACTTGTCTGAGGCGGAGTTATGCTTACAGAATCCTTTAAGACCTTTGACTTTGAACCCACAACATTGGCCGTGTCGTCTAGAGTGGTGTAACAGCCGATCATCATGGCTGCCAACAGACTGGCATTGTATAGCGTTCAGCAATGAATCCAGCTTCACTCTTGAAGCAGATGACCACCGCATTCGTGTCTGGAGAGAACGGCTCCAGTGGTCACAATCACCTTTTGTTTTACAAAGGCATACAGCCATAACCCCCCAGTGTGATGGTGTGGAGTGCTATTTCTTATGACAGCAGTTCATCTTTAGTCATCCTCCGTAAACATGTTGATACCATTAACATCTCAATGATATGTTGATCCTGTGGCCGGTTGCATTACCCTTCACAGCACGTCATCCTGAAACCATTTTCCAATAAGATAATGCCAGGCCACATACCGCTCCTATATCTCTGGACTGTCACCATCTAGTTGATACTCTTCCTTGGCCAGAAAGGTCACCAGACCTTTAAACAATTGAGCATGTCTGGGGCATAGTAGGCCGCCAGATTTGGGCACCACAATATATTGCAAATCTGGAGCGACAACTGATGAATGCCTAGCAGAATGTATCCTTGCCTCATCGAATTCAAGCATGCATTGCCGCCAGGGGCGGTTCGGCCAACTACTAATTTGAACACTCAATGGGTGATTGTGAGCCGTGAACAGGTACAATGACCTTGATTTGTTAATTATTTTATTATCTGTGCATGAGCTATACACATATTCAATTTCATCAAAAACAACCACTTCCTTCACGGGGCTTCGATTTTTATGCAAAAGAGTGTATATTTGATGCTTTTTACTTGGATTAATACTAGAATATGTGAAGTAAAAATTTTCATGCACTGATTAACGCTGATTTAAATTTCATTGAAAAAAACATTTCAAATACTACAGTAATTAGTATGTTTTACAGCTTTTAGTACAATTATGTAAAGATCTGATGTAACAGTGAACTATGATCACTTCTGGCTACCTTGTAGGTGTTCATATTACTGTTAGATGTCGCATATCGTTTAAATAAATTTTTTCAACAAATAATAACAATACATTTATAACTAAAGGTTTATATCTTCAATAAATATAATTTGCATCAATTGCATCTATAATGAAAATAAAGTGAAGAATGAAATTGTGTTTATATACAAAAACTGGTACTTCAGAAGTTAAATATACATAAATTAAAAATCAAACAAGCCAGAAATGGGAAATATTTTGAAACAGATTTAATAGTCAAAATAAGGGGGAAAAAATGCAAGAACAGTCTTTCAAGTTTCTTTTTTTTTTTTTTAAATTTTATTTACGTTTTTATTTATGTTATCAGTTTTATGTGTATATTAACCTGATGATGAAAACATACTGTATAAGATACATAACTGTATAAGCTATAATGCAATATGCAATCTGTTATTCATTACAACACAATTACCTGTGCTATGCACTTCAGCATATAATGTACCAATTTCTTTTGCTTCTTCTAATAATGGGCCAGAGGAAATATCTGGAAAATCAAAATCTTCAGGAGAAATTTCTACAGCCAGAAGTTCATTTAACATTTCCTCGTCAGTAGGTACCACAGTATCACAGTTAAACTAAAATAAGCAAACATATATATATATATATATATATATATATATATATAACAGAGATTCCAAAACATTATAAGAGAAGTTTTTAAAGCAAATTTTTCAATGCTAAAATGATTTAATAAATTTTTACATTAGTGTAGTTACTTATGTATTATTTTACTGCATTATTCATTTAATAAATAAGTTCACTTGATAGCATAATTTTCAACTTATTTCCTGAATCCAGGAGACTTTTATATGAGAATAACAGTTCCTAGAATAGTTATTCTCTGAATAAGCAGTTCCTTCAACCTTTTTCATTTGTGGACTGGATTATGAGCATTCAGATTATGGCAAAGCACACAAAGGCTACTTGCATGTTGGAAGAAATGTATTTGAAAGTAGGTCAAACTATCAGCATTCAGTAGCTTTATAATTCAGCTTACTGGTGGGCTTAAGAGCTAAAATCTCAGAAGATTGTAATAGAAACATCTTTATATTTCATGGATGTGAATGGCTCTCATATTTCTGAAAGGATAAAGTTTTAACAATCAGATAGCATCCTATTAATTTTCTCTCTTTGGTCCACATTACAACATTTTAAGACATAAGATACATTCGACAAATTCACCTTCATTACATTAAAGTGCATTATTATAGGCCTCTGTTTTTAATACAAATCTCTAGATTATCGAATATTTCCACATACACACCAATATTGTTTTAGCAATTGTTTTTTGCTACTTAAGTTTAGGAATTGGCCTATTGTTTAGCTTAGACTGACTGATAATTAATTCAATTAGAAAAATGAATAATTAGAAAATATTAATAATGAAAATTAAAATATTTTTATCTTATTTAATCCCAGTACACATTAATTAAATTTCTTAGTAGCAGTATCTGATTCAGAGTTTTCAAGTCTCTACTTGGTACAATCAAGACTGAGTAAATGGCATTGTAGTTGTTTACCTTGTTTGGATAATAATTTTAGTTTTGCCCATAGCATCACCAATGCAATATTTTTTGAATAGATCAGGAATCAAAACCCACCTTTAGCTCATCTAAATTAAAAACCAATTATTCAGAATTTTGGTGATGTATCACTAGATTTATAAGGCAATCTTAAATTCAGATTATACATGAATTTTAATTTGGTTAAATTTTCGTCACAAACTCTTGGGTTATAATCAAATATATAGTATACAGTTTAATCCAAAAATCTGCTTCTACTTGTAATTCAAGAGTTAGTTAGGAGGGAAAAAATATGCAGTTCTGAAGAAATAATTAACTGCAGTTTTTAACATGCCCAATTTGCACGCTTTTTAAAAGCTTATTCTCTTATTTTACCTCCCCCCCCAAAAAAAAACTGGTAGCCACTAGATAACTTTTCTTTTGAGATTTCAGATAATAAATTTAGAGAAAAAATTATGTGACTATATAAAATATGATTTAGTCTTTTTTTTTGCTCCAAAAGAATTTACTTGAATTCAAATTTACAATTTTTTATTAACATCATGCTAATTTTACACATAATGACATGGAAACATTAAAACCATTTTAAAACAAAATTTACTCACTTCAGTTTTCAGCATAATTTCAATATATAGGTTATAACAAATTTTGCATAGCATTATTTGAAATACCTTCATTCTGGCTTTTTGATTTATGTTTACAGGTCTTATTATCATCAGCAAGGAACACAATTTTTGTTTACTTCCCTTAGCTGACGCATAATGTATTACCACATGTAGGAAATCTGAATCAGTATAATAATGTTACGAAATGTACAGGCATGGTAAGATAGTTTTCCCGCAAGGCAGTTTTAGGGTTGCCATAAAATAGCAGGGAGGGCAGGGTTGCCACGTTTGGCGACAAAATTGGCGATATACCATGGATGGTTGGAGAAGCTTCTGGAAAGAATTCTTACCGGTTTAGTCCAGAATGTTCCTGAACACAAGCCGAAAGTTATATAAACCCTGCTGGTCCGCAGTCAGTCAATGTGTCTCTCATCGAGAGTGTGTGAGCCTCGCCTAGCGAGTCAATCCCTGCGGAGTCGATCGAGTTAACAGCCGGGCATCAAGTGCCGAGTGGGTCGTCGAGTCCACTGAAGGGAGTCTGTTAGTGTATCGGAGATAGTGCATCGTCAAAACAGCGTGTCGAGCTCCGGGAAAGACTGAACCGAAGAGTCAGGAGCTGTGCTCGTGTGTCGTCGAGTGCATCGCGAGTTGTAGCATGGAGAGTCTCGAGAGTACGCGGAGTTCCGAGAACGACCAAGCAGAGTCGGGAGCTGTACTCCGAAAGCAGAGTTGAGTGCTTTGCAGGAAGCTGTCTCCACCGTGATAGCCTGATAACCTGAAGGCTGTGTCGCTGATCGTGTCAGCGTGTTTGAACCCCGTACGAACTGGTGTCAGAATAAAGAAAAACGTAACATTTGGTGTCAGAAGTGGGATTTGCGAGTGAATGCCAGTGACCTGCCTGAAGAGGAAAGCCATGGTGGAGGAAACGAATACTTTGATGGACTTGTTAGCAGAGATAAAAAACCGGATATGATGAGTTAACAGCTGAATATGAAGAGATGGCAGCTGAGATCAAAGCCGGACTGAAAGAGATGAAAGCAAGACTGGAAGATAAGAAAGCCGGGGGAGAAGAAATAAATGTCAGCCGAGAAAAGGTGTGAGAGCAACTCCAACAGCTGAAAGTGGAACTTGCAAAAGAAAGTGGAGCCATAAAAGATGTGAAAATGACAGTAGTGGCATCTGGAGAATCCAAGGGTGAAGAAATGAAAGTAGTAGCTAGCGAACTGCCTGGGGAGAAAGATCCAGTAATGAAAGATGAAACAACTAACTGGATTAAAGATAAAGAACGAAAACATGAAGAAATAAGAGATAGGAAAGTAGAGTTTGATTCTCAAACTCTACTTTCCTATCTCTTATTTCTTCTTCTCTTATTTATTAAGAAAGTGAAAATGCAATTGTTAAGTTCGTCAAAACTGATAGTGAAGTTATGAAGTCGCAGTTCGCGAGTATTGAACCATCTGAAAATGCATGTGATGCAAAGATGACAGAAGTTGATGTGCAGCTTAAGCAGTGTGCTCCAGTATGGCAAGAATATTCACCCGCTTAGCAAACTATGTGGGTGCCTCATAGTGCAGATTTTTCAAACAAGGACTTGATTCTAAACCTGGATAGTTGTGTTTGTGAAGAATCGAGTTCCGTTCGCGACTCTAATGTAAGCATCGGAATTGTTTTTTAGGAAATAGAGGTAAATAAGCATGTACCAATTGCTAAAAATACCAAGGTGAACTGTATGCATGCTACAAATGAATTACAGAGTGGTGAACAAACTGTTTCCGATCTTCCTGTGGATGAAAAGTCTGAAAGGACTGAATCTTCAGACTGTGATATGCAAAACAGAAATACATCTGAGAACTGCAGTGGAAAAGTATTTGACCCAGGTATATTTTAATGAAAAGTCAGAGACTGAAATTAGACTTTAATTTGATATTAGATATTAGATTTAATTTTAGATTTTCATTCAGAACTTTAATTTGTATAATTTAAAATTGTTATGTGTTTAATTTGTGTATATAACTTGTATATAATGTAAATATTTGCTTTGTTAGTTATGTTACCTGTATGTTTTTGAAACTTTAAATTGTATCGAATTTGGCTTCCGACCAAGGGTTGTACTGCCCGGGATGCGCAGTTCTTGGGAGGGGGCAGTGTTACGAAATGCACAAGCGTGGTAAGATAGCTTCCCCGCAAAGCAGTTTTAGGGCTGCCATAAAATTGCAAGGAGGGCAGGATTGCCACATTTGGCGAGAAATCACCCATTTAGTGACAAAATTGGCGATATACCATGGACAGTTGTAGAACCTTCTGGAACGAATTCTTACCAGTTTAGTCCAGAATGTTCCCGAACACAAGCCAAAACCTATATAAACCCTGCTGGTCCACAGTCAGTCAGTGTGTCTCTCATCGAGAGTGTGTGAGCCTCGTCTAGTGAGTCAATTCCAGCGGAGTCGATCGAGTTGACAGACGGGCAGCGAGTGCCTAGTGGGTCGTCGAGTCCATTGAAGGAGTCTGTTAGTGTATCGCGGTTAGTGCATCGTCGAGAGAGCATGTCGAGCTCCGGGAAAGACTGAACCGAAGAGTCAGGAGCTCTGCTCGTGTGTCGTCGAGTGCATCGCTAGTTGTAGCGTGGAGAATCTCGACAGTATGTGGAGTTCCAAGAATGACCAAGCAGAGTCGGGAGCTGTACTCCGGAAAGAAGAGTTCAGTGCTTTGCAGGAAGCTGTCTCCACCGTGATAGCCTGATAATCTAAAGGCTGTGTCGCTGATCGTGTCAACGTGTTTGAACCCATACGAACTGGTGTCAGAAGAAAGAAAAATGTAACAATAATTTATTATTGAAACATTTCTTACTGAAATAAGAAATTTTTAATTACATCTATGAATTAAGAAATATTTTATTTCTTAAATGATATAAAATTATAAGCGGATAATATTTACAAAAATAATGGGGAGTATCTAGCAGGTTTAAGTGGAGTAGAATAATTAATGGTGCCAATGCAGTGTACAGATATTCGGATAAAAAAAGGTTAATTTCATTAAACATGGACATTTTTTCATATAATAGTTACATTACTACTTACAGGAATATATATTACTTATGCTATGAGGATGTAAGCACATTATAACTATGCCTTTACAGAACTTTTAAATCAATTAAATTAAATTATAAATCCCTTTTTAAAATTATAATCCTATAAGCAATTTATATTAAAAAATCAGTTTCATGTGTTTATATAGTAGAATATAAAAACACTCACTTTTTCTTCTTCTTCAGATTTAGATGATGATAAACTATCTAAATAAATAAAAATATGCAAGAAATTTATTTACACAATGACCATAAAATTAATTAAGAATAAGCTGAATTTTAAAAAATCTGCATTTAACATGACGACAATATAATTAACAGTGATTAATAAAAAAGTGTCTGCAGTAAATTTTCAAACACAGACTGAAAAAAAGAAAATAAAAAATATACATTATAATTAATACAACACTTTCCATACAATAAACATTAAATAATTTTGAATAATAGAAATATGTTAAAGAAACTTACCAATATCACTACTTGAGTTTAAATCATGAAGTAAATCCAATTCAGCTAAAAGTTTGACATACTGCTTCGAGTCTTTAAAGCCAGTTAGATAGAATTCGTTCTCTAAAATTTCGTAAACCTATTTTGAGATACAAAATAATAGTCATGTGTGTGTGTGGGGGGGGAAGACAATAGAAATATCATGATATAAGTACAAAGAAAATTCTGAAAGCTCCTCTTTCATTCAAAATGTGTTGTCTTAAACAACTGTCGCTAGTAAAATAGATATATTCAACCAAATTAAAATGGTTTCAGGACCCAACAGCTGAATTTAGAAAAGTTAACAGCTTCCACTCTAGCCAAGTAAGAGAGAAGAAACTGATCAACTATACAACTGTACAGTATCAGTTAATTTGCAAAATCAACATCAAAATTAATGCCCAGTTCTTATCCGAAATAATACAGCTAACTGCCTCAAGCAAAGGTCCCCAAAGTATAGATCATGAAAAGCTATGTTTCTTTTTGTATAATTATATATAATTACTTAAAATTATTAAATAATTTGTATCTATTAATTAATAATTAATTATTAGATCATTATTATATTACTTTTTGAGTTTCTTCTTCCACTCATACTTTTCTTCACAGATTGTTATGCACCCCAACTATTAACACAATGCTAAAAAATCTCAGAAACATTGGCCTAATCATTACATGCATTTATATCAATGGAATTGAGTAAAAAAATTCTGGATTCTATCTGCATGGTAAGGCAGACATGATATGGATTGGATGATATGGCATGGAATTTGTCTGCATGATATAAAGTATTATGGTGTGGTGTATTAAGAATACGGCAAAGCACACTAGGGCTATCTGCCTAAGAGGAGGGATGCCTTCGTGGAGGACCTTCTAAGGGAAACTGGCTCGGATGCACGTTACACATGGGGAAAACCACGAAAATGCCCATGCAGCCAGCTCGTTCGCGGGACTCGAACCTCGGACCGAACTACCAGTGTTCAGCGATTTTACCGCTCGGCCGCTGGTGAGCCTATAAAGTATTATGATGATTATTGGATTATAACACAATCTTTCTTCTGGTGAAATTATTTGTTACACATGTCTTACTTACATGTGGGTTTATGAGCAATGCATACAACATTTTGCAAATGAAGAAAAATGAATCTTTTTGAGCAGCACATTAACATTCCTTTTGTGTTCATTTGTGGAAAAAAAAAATTCAGCAGAATTTTATAAGAATTTGAAGCAAGTTTATGGCAGAAACAACATAAACAAGATAATTCAACAGGCATCAGTGCTTTGGAGGAGGCACACAGAAGCTAAAATCAAGCTAAAGGTCTCCAACAAAATATTATTCATTTGAACTTACTCCTGAAGGTACACAGAGGTTTTACCTAAATATTATATAATATTTATGTCAGTTGATTTGCATGCAGAAACTTCAGTTATGGAGATGATAAATTAACCTTATATAAAAGAAAAATAAAAGAAACTTTTATGAAAATGCCTTAAATATAAAAGTAACAGTTTCTATTTGCAATATCTAAAATTTTTTATATTATTATTTTAATGAATGAAATACCATTTCTTCAAAACAGGACCAAATAACAAAGTATATAAGATTTCTTAAAAATAAATATACCTTTTCCTGTACTTCATCGAAACATGTTTCAGCTATGGTTTCAGTCTTCAATCGAGATAAAAGTTTCCTGAGTAGAGTTTCATCCAAATTAACTCTAGAAGTTGCCTAAAAGAAATAAATAAAAGTAATGAATTACAAAATAATAAATAAAATTAGAAAAAAAAAAAAAAAAAAAAAAACTGGAGAAAGAAAATTATGAAATATAAAGACAGATTGATAACTTTGCAATAGCCAAATTAGATATAAAATATACCATTAATAAAATGTTATAATTGCAATTAAAATTAAGTAATTTTTTCCCTTATAAATTTAATGCTATCTTCCATTCAGATGACTAAATTTTTAATTAAATACTGATCACTTTTAACAGGATGATGGAAGGAGATAACAAAGGGAAGGAAACAGAATCTAAATTAAAATTTATATAATTCTGATGCATACAATTTATGTAATCTGAATTTTAGCACATAAGTTGTTTTTAACATTTTGTGAAGAAATTACACTTTTAACCACTTGCGCTATGAATAACTTCACAGTTGCGGTGCCGTGAGCTACAATATAACAAGCGATAAAGTGTCTCATTTATGCCGCTCCGCGTCTGTGAGTGCAAATCAGAGCTGTAATTCAAGAAATAAACAATCTCGTAGTTAGGCGACGTTTGCACCACGTTATTTTCATTTTTGCAATAAATGACTATCGACGTGGTGTTCATGTCGCTCGCGGTTTGAGACAAAAGCATTTCGACGTGCGTGGCACATCTTTTTAGCGCAAGTGGTTAACAGCTCTGCATCGTAAGTATAAAAAAAGCAATAAAATCTAAAAATTTTAAATTTATAATATTAGGTAAAAATACAGTTGCATAAATTAAAAAATAATCAAACAGACAAGTTAAACACTGCTAGATAATTAACTGATTATTACATAATATAAATAGCCCATAATATTCTTTCCAATATGGTAGAGATAAATAAAACATAAAAAATACACTATAAATTTGACTAGCAATGTTTAAAAAATTTAATGTAACCAAAATAACTGGCGAAACCTGGCGACTTTAAATAACTTTTCAATTTCTGTTAAAGAGTATATTTAAAATTATACATGTTTTCAGTTACTTTTCCCCCTTTTATTAAAAGCTAAATATTTTGTATTTTTCATGAATTAAATTTATTCTAGAGCATGAACACAGAAATAAATCACAGTACAAATGCACAAATAAATCACAAAATTTAAAAACATTAGCTCTAACTTTCATTTAAAAATAATGACATTTGTGAAAAATACAAAGTTTTTCTACAGGAGAATAAGACATTTGAAGTTCAAAACATATTCAATTAATTATATAAAAATCATTCTGCAAGATTAAAAATTTACAAAATAAGAGCAGGCACCATCAGTCTGAATACTGATATCACTTATCCATAAGGAAAATAAAATAAATATCTATTTTTAACCATTTCAAGTAAGCTTTACTAAAATAAATATTCAGCTAATGATTTTTTTTCGCAATTCAATTCTTAGGTATATCTGTCTGCAAAGAAAAACAATATTATGCACCTAACACGTATCTGGGAGGAAATTATGGTTGTTCATTTAGTAAAATTTTTTTACAGCTCATCAACAGTCAGTTTTTAGTCCAAAGAAGCTATTAGAAGCCCAAAAGAGCTATTAGTCTCGAACCTGCATTTTGTGTTGTTTTACTATAAACAGCATATCACTTTTTAAAATGTTATCATCAAATATTATAGCCCTGTATTATATTTAAAGAAATTAAATAATGAAAAATCTGCACGAATGTATGTAAGTTTCTTGAACTGTGAAAAAACGATGATACCTAGAGCCATCAAATTTTGAATAATGTAATCCTTTTCCCGAACATGGGCAACTAGAAGTCCAAATTTTGAATTTGTTTAACTATCTATTCCATGTTTTGTAAAACTTAAATGAATTTTTGAACAAACTCAATGATTTCAAAGTGAGCATTAGCAACAACGTATGGAAAAAAACCATTTCTATCTCCAGCGTCTAGACTGTCTATCGGAAATTCTAAAGATATGCTGTTTTTAAATATTTTGTGATATTGCTGTTGAATTGAATTTTATGCAATTTAAGTGTAAAGATCATGATATTTAATAAATAAAGGTAACACACAAAATGTTAAAAAAGTCCCTTTGGGTGTATTATAAAATCTGAAAGATTTCAAACTTTTTTTGGGTACTGCTTATGTTTTTCTTTTCGTTTCTTTAACTGCTAATGAACCCAAACTAAATATACAGTCTAGATTCACCTGTTGTTGGTTGAATAGGTAGACACTGTTTTTGCTTGGACATAATTTTTTTAAATTCTTTATTTAAAACTTTGATATTTTTTGACTTTTTCTAAAAACTTACAAATATTACATGATTTTTTTTGTCCATTTTAAATAATTATTTTTACCAATATTATTGTTTATACCTAGAATTACGGCTATCAGCCATTTTGTCAGTATCCAGAAAAATTCTATATTTTTCATTATTTTTAAGACTTCATTAGATTTTTCCCGGTAAGCTGATAAATAAATAAGTGTATTTTTGGCAAGGAAGATTGCATATTTCATAGAAGTGAATGAGGAAGGAAGAGGAGGGGAATAAAAACACAGGCTTGGAATTTTTACGTGCCACATGTCTGCCCATTTCGCTTGTGTTAGAAAGGTTATTTTTCAGCAGACACAAATGTACTTTACTTCATTTGAATAGTTTTGTTGTTCTGACCTGTTTATCATGTCATGTAGAAGTGTTGGTAGAAAATATCTAACAAAGGAAGAGATGCTGAAAGTTTTTGAAAGCCTTTCTGATGGTAATTCCGCTTCAGAAACAGATGAAGAATTTTATACCAAAACTATATTTAATTTATTTGACAAGAACTGGATTGTTCCTACTGAAACAAGTAAACCAGATTTGCCTGATGGAGAATCTGTTCACAAAACAGAAAAGAAAAGTAAAAATTTACACCAAGAATATATTAAATACCTTGCTTTCTACTCATATAGTTCCCAGAAGTGAAATCAATGGCAGTAGTCAAACTCAAGAAAGTAGTGAGAGGCAACAAAACAGAACTTGAGAACCAGGAAGATAGCAAAAAAGTAAATTAAATCCTGTCCAAAGTAAGGAAATTCAAAACAGTGAAAAAACAGCAAATGATGGTTCAGTTTGGAAAATAGGAAATATTTCAACAAGTGTTACAGGAAGACATCCTCAGCAGAATGTAGAGAAGTAGCTGGGGCAATTTCATATGCAAGGAGAAAAATAACTGATGTTAATTCAAGTAGTGCATGTAAGTAGTGCTGACAAAGGACATTTTTTTTACTCCGCTAAAATTAGTAAAATAAATGAGGAGTTCAGGGATAAACTTCATTGGCACAATAAATCATTCAAAATGAGAAGTACCTTATTCTTTCAAAAAAGAGATAAGCTCTCTTCTAGTAAGACTGCTAAGCATGACAATATAACACTTTAGCAAGGAAAAAAAAATAAGCAAGGAAAAAAAATAAGAATGTCCTGCTTTACAGTACCAAGCACCGAACTTTAGAAATCGCATCTGATGAAAAAAAGGCACCAGAAGTTGTGAATTTTTACAATTTGACCAAATATGAAGTTCAAGGAGCTTCGAAAGATGCACATTTCATCCAAAATTCACAATCTTCCTGTATCTGATGAAAAGAGAATTGATACTTTCATCAACCTTTTCCATAAGCTTAAACAATGCCAGATAAATGCATGCAGAAGTAACAAAATTTTGAAAACTTGTGAATGGTATAAAATATATATTTGTGGAACTTGTACAGGTAAAATTAAAAAAACTAGTAATCTGTATGCACTGTAAAACTGAGCAATCTAAGTACTACTATGTGTAGTCTTTAATACATTTATTTCATATTGAAAATTTTTATGAGTCAATTTATTAAATGACAAGAAGTTTAAAAGTATCCAAAATACTTTTTTTTTCCTTTTAGCTCTCTGTTATATTAAAGTATCTATCGATTAATATATTTACTCACTTTACATTATTTTGCTTTTTGTTACATTCAATTATTTTTTGATTGCATGTATTTACTCAATTTACTTCATTTACTTATTAAACAAGAGAATGTATCATTCTAAGAATTAGCTTTACATAATATTAGCAAAAAGTGAGCCTTTTCTTCTATTCAGAGTAAGCAGGACCACTAATCATAGTTATAGGTATACAGAAAACGCCGGCACGCTAGTGTTAAAACACATTTTTTTTTGTTATAAGCTATTACAACTTTTCCACCCATATCAGCTTAGATTCACATCTTGTGTAAAATACACTCAATGTTTTAAAAACTTACAGGATAAAGTGGTAATTGTGTATTAATCAGTGCATGTCAACACTATGCAAAAAATACCATTCAGCTATAATTCCTGCAAGCATTTGATAATCCAGAACGTTGTTCCAGATAGAAAAATTAGTTTCTTTTATTTGGGGGTGGGGGGAGGGTCAGTGTTGTACTTTTCTGGAGGAGAAGGGATTAGGAAGAAAGATAAAGATGGTTTCTTTTGTAATTTTAAAATCTACTTCAGAACCAATTACAGCATGTGCATAATCTGCATTGTGTCCTTTTTATATTACTCATCAGAAATAATAATAATAAAAAATAACCTTTACCTTAAGAAAGTTCTTGGGACAATGTTTATTTATAGTGTGTAAAATTTTACTGCATTTTGCATCATATGCTTGCTAGATTTGCTGAGAAATGAAGAAGCAATTTATAATTTTTTGGTTTATGGTATATTGCAAAAGAACAGTGAGTATTCAGATTATCATGCAATGAAGTTGTAGTTGTTGAAATACATGTGATGGAAACATAATATTAAGAACAACTGATAAAGCATTTAAATAATAACCACAAAATTAAATGAGCAGCTGATTGCCATCTTATTTAGTATAAAGTTTATACAGAGGTAGAGATAAGTTGCAGAGTAACTATCTGATGTGACTTTGAATGCAGGTGCCAAATATTACTCATCAGAAATAATAATAATAAAAAAATAATTCCAACAATTTGGTATGTTGAAAATATATTTCATCACCAAAAGATACAAATAAATTGCTGGCACTGCAACAGCAGGAACTGACCATTAATACAAATATCCACAAAGAAAATAAACTTAAAGTTCTTAATATGTCCTCCTGTTTTCATCTTCTATTTAAAACACATAAAAAAATTTAACTGGCATATCATGCGTATCTCAAAGTTCAGACCAAAATAAATTTTTAACACACAATTTAATAACCAACGAAGAAAATTTTCCCTCTAATCAGATTATAAAAGAAAAGCATCATAAAAATTTTTTGCCATTGCTTACATTAGCTCCTAGATGGGTGTCGAATATTTGGAGAGCTAAATCTCTTAATTTTTCATTGATTGATTGTTGATCTGGTAAAACATCTTCCGCTAGTAGTCCAACTGTAGTACGAAAGCTCTAAAAATAAATTTTAAAACAGTAGTAAATTTAAAATTGAATATTAAATTCTATAAAATTAAGAAAATTAATACCAATATGCTATGACATTTTAAAATTAACTGTTCATTTTTACACATATCATAAATTAGATTTGTTCTTTTGATAAAACAAAGCATCCTGATTAAAACTACAATTTTTTTTAATAATTAGATTTTTATTATTTATGTTGTTTACTTTAAGAAAGCATATGGGGATATATAATGGAAAAATAATTGCATTAAAAACTTTTTAATTGTGCTAATTTTCTATGGTGATTCTGAAAGTTCAAACAACTGTATTAAGAATAAGTTTCTATTTTGTGAATACAAGTTTTATTTAATAAAATCTGGTAATCCCCATTTAATATCTTACTAGCGATTTCAATAAATAACCAAGCTCAAAAAGATTTTTATTTAGTGTTTTCAAATTTTTCAGGAAGATAAAATAAGTTATTTTCCTTTTCATTACTTTTTGCACAAAAGCATGTATTTTTTTAACAGTTTTATAGGAAAGAAGACATTCATCATTTCTTCAAATGATATATATATATAAATTTTATAGAGCTAATTTAAAGGGGGTGGTGGTCGAAATGATGACTCATGTTTTCTCTGATTAAATATTCCAGTATGAAAAGACATAGTTTTCTTTTTATTTTTGTATTTTACATGGATTGTTTTTGTTCACGCTAATGGGATAATACTTTTTCCACCATTCTACTATAAACAGATTTCACCTTTTTTATATAAAGGTTAATTTTCCACCAAAGTTGATTGTAATGGATTTTCAAAAGTAAATTTTACTTTAGTAATAAACAGAAAAATTATATTTTGGGGCATACACATTCACTATATAATTTCCACCAGTTCAATAAAAGTAAATTTGGCTAAATAAATCAAAATTTAAACGTACAAGCAATTTTTGAAGAGAGCAGTAATAATATTAGTTACTGCACACACATTTACTTGCATGTCTGTATGCTATATTATTAGTTTTTAATAATGCCATATAAATATACAGTACATTTAGTATAGTAATTATTAAATTAATAGATTATTGAAAGACATGTAGATCATAGGGGTGATTGCAATACCATTTAATATTTTACTGGTGAAGCAAAATATACATACTGTTACAAATTTTGCATACATGTAGATAATTTTAGTGAAATTTTAGTATCTTTTCTATAATTGTAACATTAAATGCTTGAAACAAAAGGAAAGCTCTTTTGAAAATAAGCTTATAAGGCCAAGTCTATTTGAGGTAAGCGGCTATCTCACTAAAATGGTGAGATATCACCAAGCTGGTCATGGTTTTGATGATTAATGTTCGCTGCCACATCTAGTGAGAAATCCCCAAAAGCTGCTTGACAAACATTTCGCAACAATTTGTTCTGGTTCCTATATAACTGTAATTGATTCCTCCATTTAACTGTAACTGCATCCAGGCTTTTATGCAACTTTAATTGTGTATGCCTTCCAGTAATTTTGAGAAATTGAAGGATTTCTCAGCAGTCTGGGGAGAAATTACATAACTGAAAAGAGCATCAATCTTTTTGTTTTTAGTTCAGAGTTGAATTTACAATATTAAGAGATATCCATGCGAGCTTCGCTCTTGAGAGGGAGTTTTGCACTGAGTTGTGTTTAACTTCCTTAGTTGTTAAAAGTAGTGACAACTGATTGTACTATCATACTGAGAAGAGCTCTGTGAGTACTTCTGTGGAAAGTTCCAGAACTGTAAGATGTTTCTTTTTGGAAAATAAATGTTATCAAGTTGTCATCTGGTTTGTGTGTATTCAATCCATTATGAACCCATATACATTCAACAATATACATATATATATATATACAAGTAAGAACTTTTAGAACCTATTTTACACAAAGACCATCAAAAAGTAAAATTCAATACCAATAAATTTCAAAATATCCTGTATTTAAGTTTTCAAATAAAATATTTTGTGACACTGCTATAATATACGTATATACACACACACATACATATATATTTAACTTTTTATATTTCACTAAATCAATGGCCACAGTTGCTTACGTGTTTGGTTTCTCAACATTAAAAATAACAATAATTGCTAAGTTAAGATGAGGAGATGCCAGTGATGCAATAAATTATCCCTCATACCCTTACCAATAATTATCAAACAGATCTTTTTCATTGTAATTTTATGTAATAAGAATAAATAACATTTCAATCTGTACAGTATCTAAACTATCACTGTTCAAGTATGCTATTTATTCTGGCAAAATATCACCCACATAATTAAATAAACTTTCAGCAAGTCCACAGAAGCAAGTTAAAACAGATTTATACATTTTTCTCAATACTGGGTATTTTTGCTTTCCATTTCCCTTCAGTCTCAATACTTCAATCCCAAAACTTACAGTATCTATTTTTTCTACTTTTGTATAAGACAAAAAGGAAAAATAATTCTTCTATGTGACAAACAGTGTGCTTAGACAAGAAATTTCCCCCTTCACTGAACTTTATCAAAGTCTCAAAATTTTATATTTATGTAGTCTCTAATAGCTGTTCTAAAGCAAATTTTGAGGGGGGAAAAAAAAAAAAAAAAAAAAAAAAAAAAAAACAGATTTTGATTTTACAGATTTACTAATTACAAAGTTTACATTGCACATATCTTGAAATTCCAGATTTCAGAAATAAAAAAAAATCTCGAATTCTGGCTATTTCCAGACCACAATTACGCCCTGTAAATATCATCTACATAATTTAAAAAAAGCAGCCAGTTTTGATACACTTTAATATAATCAGGAAAAGTCTTAGAATAAATACATAGTAAAAACTGCTTTTACATTGTAACTAAAAATTACTCTTTTTATATATGTAAAATAAAAATTCTCACTTGATGTTAACTAAATATTTCTAACACATAATCATAAACATGTATAAGCATCTATAATATAGGAATAAATTATACGGCATTTAAAAGAACAAACAAAAACACTTACTTCTATATTATGATACAAAAATACATAACCTTCAGCTTCTATACTAATCAGGTATTCTAAGGAGAGAATATAATTTAACACTTGCACTACATAAAACAAAAATGCACATAACAATGCTAAACTTACACTAAATAAAACAAAAATGCACATAACAATGCTAAACTTACACTAAATAAAACAAAAATGCACATAACAATGCTTTTTATCAAAGGCAAGACTTTTGGCTTCATAGTAGATTTCAAGAAACCATGCTCTAAAGGGCAGTTTTACTTTTAGCATAAATGTCCGAGTAATAAGCAATTACTTCAAGATTATGGTAAATAATAAATTAATGAATGTACCAAATAGCTCTTTATATATTGTGAAACATTTAATACAGTGTGAAGTATTTACATATTAAAAAAATTATATTTGAAAATTTCATTTTAAAATATTAATTTTCCTTTATGCCAACTTTCTACTCCCGACCATATCCTAAACAATTTGCATTGTTACATTAAATGAAAATTAAAAGTAAAAATACCTATACCTTTCTAATCGAAATGAAATTTTTTAGAGGTTTAATTACTCATATCAACACTTAAAAAAGAGTGAAAGATATTTTAATTACATATTTAAGTAGCATTAAAAATCATAAAACAGGTCAAAGTTATTAATAGAAAATTCTGCAAGGTAAATATGCAGTTCTTACATTTAGACTGCCTAGCAGAAAATAAATTGATAAATTAATAAAATCATGGATTTATTTTTACTATATGTAAAATATGAACTTAAAATACTTGCAAAGCCTATACAAAAGTTAAAAGCTATATTTGCAATAAAAATAATAATAAAATTGTATAGAAAAATGGGTAGGTGAAAGAGCAATTACTAATGATTAAAAAAAAAAAATCAAAACATGTATAAATAAGCTTTTTTTGCATCTCAAGATTCTTATTAAAAGAATAGCATTTAAGTGACCATTTTGAATGAGCCAAATGCAATACATGTGACACCACAGCGATATATATGTACATACGTTACTGAATTTTAATTTTCATGTATTAAATAACATGATATTTCCTACATAGCAGTTCATAAATCATCGAAAAACAGAACTCCAGAACACACTAAGAAATGAAAAAAAATTCTGAGCTGTCATGTTCAGTGAACGAAACATGTTTTGCTAATGGAAATATCATTGTGGACACAGAAAAATATCTTCTACTTTTTCATTTTAGCAGCAGTGAAAACAATGGATAGCACACCAGATATCTGGGAAATACTAAATGCTCCAAAATTCACAAAAAAGAAAATTTCATCTCTTTTTGCAGCATGTATTACATTTTGGGGAAAAAGTTTGGAATAAAATGTTTTGGGAAAAAGAGTCCTTTATTCTGTTCTTATGTACAGATGTCATGCAAAAACATCATTAAATTGCATTCGACAGTGGTCAAAAGGAATATTTTCGTTCAAATATGAAACCTAAAATTTTTCGAAAACACAATGCTTCCTTTACTTCGTACAAGAAATTAAAAACGGATTAAATCAAGAAGAATGCATTCAATGTCTACAGTTAGCATTTGGAAATGAAGGCAAATCTCGTGCTACTGAATTCAGATGGTTTACTGAATTTCACAGAGGTCGCAACTGTCTTCAGGATAAAAAACACACAGTAAGACCGTTGTCAACAGTAATCCCAGATAATGTGTCTGCCATATGCAAAATGCTAATTAATGCTAACTGCTGCACCTACCAAATGTTACGGAAGGAACTTAACACTCGATCTGACAATATACATAAAGTTATTCGTGAAGAATTGCGTATGAAAAAACTAGTTTGCTGTAGGGTTCCCCATGATTTAACTTAACACAAAAAAAGAGTTGTGTGTCAGAATCAGTAAAGAACTCCTTAAAATACTTAAAGGTGGTGACCACATCGCATAATTTCTAAAATCATAACTGCCGAAGAAACATATACAGTACAAAGTCTTTAATCTGGACTGGTTGGGAACTTCAGCGGTTCCGGATCAGGGGTTTTTCCGGATTACAGATCATCAATTTAAATCTGGTAAGATGGCATGCAGAAATTAAAAATTAAAAATATGAAACCGTAATTTATGAAATAAAGAGCAATTATGATCAAAGGGTATCAAAATAAAAAAAAAAAAAAAAAAAAAAAAAAAAAGCTTAATATTTATTTGTTTACTTTATTAAAGATTTCTTTCAACGCGCGCATGCGTAAAGCATACATTATGCATAGTTGAAATTAGAAAATTGCAACCAGAAAACTATTTGATGTGTATTCGTGATATAATGACGAGGAATTTGATTTAAATCATATCAAAGACAGAGTACATCAAGATGAAATACTACATTTAGTAAGGAATAAAATAAAAACATCTGCCCTGAAGATGAGGATAGTGCTGACAGATCAACTCCCAGTTCATTTCGCGACGTCCCCCAGAGCAGCATGAAATTGATAAACAGATTTCGGAATGGTTAGAGAAACAAAGGATATGCCTTTATCCATTTTTTGCAGCAATTCCACTTTTTGTTTGATGGACATCGAAACATGCTTTTGATTTGTAGATCCTCTGGCAGCTCCATAATCGGAAACTCTTTTTGACATAATCAAAAGTTCAAACTTACTTTTTATAAAATTGCTCTAATAGTCTGCAAAAAATAATAAGCCGGATTCAATTAGAAGATTAAGGAACAATGCAATTTGCAACATTAACTGAAATAGATAATTTTAGCCTAGCTTATACCGTCCATTATACATTAAACGCGCATGCGTAAATGTGTTATGCGCATGTGTAAATGCATAATGCGTTTACACATGCGCAGAAAGTTTGTAACTTTGAGGTCCGGATTACAGATCATTCCGGATTAAATACTTTGTACAGTATACCATTTTTTTGATGCTCCAACATGCCAAGAAAGTAAAGTATGAGTCTTTGAAGATGATCCCATGCAAATAATGGGGAAAGACCATATGCCATGAAAAAGGTAATGCACGTCGTCTTCTTCAGAAGCACAGGATAGGTCAAAGTTATTAAGGTGGAAGGACAAAAGACAGTCGCAGCTAACTGGTACACCACTAAGTGTCTTTTAGAAATTCTTCAAGAAGTGAATGTTAGAAAACTCATGCTTCACAATGACAGTGCTTCTTCTCATTCAGCAAGACTGACAGTTGAGTTTCTCGAACAAAAACACATTAATGTGATAGAACATCCACCCTATTCACCTGATCTAGCTATGTGTGACATTTGGTTGTTTTTTAATCTAAAAAAGAAATTATATGGATGTCATTTTCCTTCCAATAATGAGACTGACGAGACTATTGAATGCATTTTTTTCATTGATTCCAAGAAATGAATGGATTGAAGCACTTAATCTTCGGAAAATTCGTCTACAGAAGTGCATTCATACTGGAGGAGACTGAACACTCCTAAAATTTCGTAAGTATAACTTCAAAAATTTACCTTAAAAAATTTCCGAGTGACCCTCGTATATATTCATATGTAATTAGCAATGCAATCAAAAGACTGTAAATATTTCCAATTAAGCTTCATAAATATAAATAAAAAATGGAATATGTTGCAGATTAAGATAAATTTATCTTGAATTTCAGTAATTATATATACACTGCATTATGAAATATTGACAATCTACATCAATTAATATTGCCATTTCCTGTTACATTAAATGCATTAAAAAAAAGACCATTAGGTAAAACAGCAATAATAAAACACTATTATTGATTATTTGTAAGTTCCAACTTACAAATAATCAGTATGTATGTTTCATCATAAACAAAAACAACTTACGAGTAAAATAATGTAAGGCAATATTATTATTGAGAATCACATCGAATGGAAGTGAAACAAGTTTTGCACTGTTTCCTAAGTGAAGTGAATCTGTACAATCACGCTCCTAAAATCAAGAATAAATATTTAAATTAACAAGCTATAAAGCATATTTTTAAATAAAAAAGGAAGCCTTAACAACATAATTAAATATGAGAGACAGCAATAACTCATACAGAGCCTTATGCATATTTATAGGTTATGGGAAATCCCTCAAATTGTAAACTCACACCTCTTTTTAGCTCTTCAATCATAAATCTGATGGTGGGGAATCTTTGCTACCAGCAGTCAAAAAGTCTATGATTAGAGAGACTATTATTCTTAAATTTGCTTCCACTTTTGATTCTAAATCCTACTCTCATTAGCAATATATTCACAGCTGTCGTACTTTTAAAGTTCTGATTTACCACTATAAAAACCCCAAAACTAAAAGTAGTGATGCTAGAACTCTCTTAGGTTTTGGGAAGCTACAACTAGATGCTATGATACTCTTAAGTCTCTTAGGTTTTGCTTCGATATTACTATTATGCTATTATTATTAAAATGATTCTTAGTTTTCCATTGAAACAGTATATTGTGCTACATATGGCAAGAGATGTATTTTTTCATTTTCCAATCACCTTTCACAGTTAAAAACTTAGAAATCCTTACTTTCACAGATATAAGTATATATTTACGTTATTATAGTAAGTAGAACTGTATACAATATATGTTACTCAATGAAATACTTTAGTACTGCTTTAATTAAGGTCAGCAATGTCTTAAATGCGTAATTTATCAGTGCAGAGGCTTGCCATATAAAACAGGATATTTGAGTAATGCATAATGCAATTATTTCCTTAATTATATGCTATTAGCTATGCTATCTGTTATTATCCATATTAAACTTTCCTACCTATTATTTACACATATGGGTAAACTGTATAATTATAAATGGTGAAAGATTATGTGTTATTACCTATGGTATCTGGTATTACCCATAATAAGCTTTCATACCTTTTATTTATACATATAGGTAAATGTATAATTATACATGGTGAAAGATAATACTCATAACAAATAAAATGTCATTCATTTTTCAGAATAAGAAGTGGAAATATTAATCTAAAAATGAATGCATAATTTTCAAAGCATCCTAAGAGTATTTTAGGTAATATAGTACAAAGTCCGTAATTCGGACTCAACGGGACTTCGGCGATTCCGGATTACAGATTATCAATTTAAATCTGTTAAGATGGCAAACAGATATTATACAATTAAAAATATGAAACCATAATTTATGAAATAAAGAGCAATTATGACCTAAAGGGTATCAAAATTTACAAAAAAAAAAAAAAAAAAAAAAAAAAAAAAAGAGCTTATTATTTATTTGTTTGCTTTATTAAACATTTTTTTCAATGTAAGTTGCTTAAGTTGCTTCATTTTTTGTACTAATACTTTCTCTTTTATTCTATAAACAGACATAATTTCTTGTTTAGTTACAAAGTTCCACCGTTCAAGTCCTGTAATTGCTGTAATAAAAATACCAACTAACTTGTCAATCAAAATTTTTTTGTTTTCAATAACATCTCTGTCACTTTCTTCACTATCGGAAGCGGTATTTTCTGGATCTAGAACCATACTACAGATTTCGCCGTGCATTAATTGATTGATGATTGCGGCATTGTTGTGGCAACGAAAATTTCTGTTATATCATCTTCATTTATTACTGCTTCTCCACATTTCTTTACAAAATCCAATAACTGGAAAATTGCACCTTTAGTTTGCAATGTCCGAGAATCTTCAAATTCACGGCTATCATTTTCATCGTCCTCACTATGAAATATGGTAGCTGGCCATAAATTATGCCAAGCATTTTTTAATGTATCTGAAGACACATCCTCCCACAATCTTGCGATGCTCCATACAGCAGATTTTATGCTAAAAAATTTCAAAAAGTCTTGAATAGTCTTGTTCAAGAAATTTAACATAGATTTTAAAAATGCTACTTTATATTTGCATTTCAGCACGTGCACTTTTCCGATATCCATAGGCTGAATGATGGATGTACAATTTGGAGGAAAGCATAATACGAATACATTATCTGTCACTAAAATTTTTAAGTGAAGTATGAGCCTAACCATTATCTACAATCAGATCAATTTTTGCATCATCAGGTAAATCAACTGAATTCAAAGTATTGCTGAACCCATGGTATAAAATGATTTTCAAACCAGTCATTCATTTATGCTTGTGTCATTTATGTTATTTTATTTGTACGATGTATAAGGGGGGGAATCTGTACTTCTTTCATTGCTTGAGGTTATGTATGTCTTCCGATTACGAAAAGTTTGTACTTGTGCGTTCCTGCAGCATTTGTGCACACTAAAATTGTTAATCTCACTTTGGAATCTTTGACACCAGTTGGAGCCTTTTCTGCAGAGGCTGACAAGGTATTTCATGGTACATATTGCCAGAAAAGACCAGGTTCATAAGTGTTGTAAATTTGTTCTGGAGATAATTGCTCACTAGTAATGAGTTCAATGAATTCATCTGCAAATTGTTCAGCAGCTTCAGTATCAGCTGAAGCGTTTTCACCTGAAATTTTTAATTGTCTCATACCATGGCGATTTTTAAATTTGATTAACCAACCTGTCGAATATGTGAACTCAATTTTTAAGTTCATTTCTTCATGAAATATTTTGGCTTGAGCCATTAGCATTGGAACCGTCAATGGCACGCCCTCGCTGCAATGCTGTCTGACCCATTCAATCATCACTTTTAGCAAAACAAACTCTTTTTCTGTCATTCACTGAAAATGGGGTGTCGGAACAAAAAATTAAAAATGTTCCTTTTTCTTTTTGCTTATGTCATATACAGTTGACTTTCCAATCTCATTCTCCTCGCATAATTTTGAGATGGATATGCCTTTATCCATTTTTTGCAGCAATTCCACTTTTTGCTTGATGGACATCGAAACATGCTTTCCCTTTGTAGATCCTTTGGCAGCTCCATAATTGGAATTTGACATAATCGAAAGTTCAAGCTTAATTTTTATAAAATTGCTCTAACAGTCTGCAAAATATAATAAGCCGAATGCAATTAGAAGATTAAGGAGCAGCACAATCTGCAACATTAACTGAAATGCCTTAGAATCAGTAAAGATAATTTAGGCGAGCTTATACCATCCATTATACATTAAATGTGCATGGGTAAACGCATTACAAGAAAAAAAAGTTTGTGGCTTTGAGGTCCAGATTATAGATCATTCCGGACAATGGATGTCTAGATTATGGACTTTGTACTGTAGTAAGCTTTAAAGCAACTTTTCTGAGAATAAAATTAAAAAGCATTTCCTCTTCCCATTTTGTGCAATTATTTCTTTTTACTTGAAAATTAGATTCTGGATTATCAATTCAATTTATTTAAATAAATAACGAATTACTGATTATGGAAACTGCAAAACCAAGGGAAAAAATCAACCTTACTCAATAATTATTTATTGATAAAATTTTACCATAATTTTTAAAGCAAATTATTATTGTGCAAAGTTTCATGATCAAATGAGCATTTAAAAAAACAAGGGTATAGTTAAAATCAGTATGAAAAGGTAAAGGCTAATCCCAAAATATCTCCAGTGACACTGATTAATTTGCTAACCTAGTTATGAGTAATTTGAAGGCTGGTGGTTCAATGGATAGAAAAATACATTGATACATGCAGCCAAAACATCTGTTACAATACAGGAATTCTTTTATGTGGCGAATCAAGATAGTTAATATAATGACATTGTATTTGCTGCTTAAAAGATTGCTATTCCCAGTACACTGGCCATATCTCTCCCCCTTTCTTTTTGTCACAAAAATAGCCAGATGAAATGTCAGTTTTGACATTCTTGGAGATTTAATCTCTGGACTCTATCAAAGCAGCTTTGATAGAAGAATTTTTCATAATTTCAATCATTTTAATTTTGTTATTAGGCAAATATACATCCCTTTAAAAATGCATCCACTTGGTCAAAAATGATTTCTACTGCAAACAGTGCAGATAAAAATGTTTGATAAAAAAAAGCAGCAAAAGATATAAGAAATCCTGTCTTTTGAGCATTTTAATGACCTATGAGCCTTAAGTCTAATAATAAAAAATAACTTCCCATTTTAACACCATACATGGCTAATGGCAATGGTTTTGTATAATATCAATAGACACGCTCCTTATTTTGCTCATTAGAATTCAAATTCACAACATTAGAGCTCTATAAAGCAGAAGTCAGATTGTTTACTTTCATGATATCTTAAACTTTTTCTCATTAAATTTTCTTCTCACAAGCCAATTAATTTGTTACAAATCACATAAGCACAGCAGCTCATGCCAAGGTGCTAATAGACCTATTCAGGCGAAACTGATATCACAGATTACTTGAATAATTAGAAATAACTGATTACATCTGCAGAATTTTACAAAACTTTTTCACTTCAAAACCAGTACCATGTAAAGCCACCTTGAACAACTACACTTTTAATACAACATGATGTATTCAATAACTCTGTATGCTATAACATGGCAGCAGAAAACCAGTTAACCAGTTCAAGAACTTATTTCATTATCAAAACATTAATTTAGCTTTGTAATTTAGCCCTTGATATACTATAAGGAAATATAAAACTTGCAGGATTCTGAGTATGCAAATACAGCTAGCTCTCCATATGACTGACATATTTATCATACAACTTAAAGACTCCAAAATGCCATCAGAAATAGTTCTGACAAAAATTATATTTAACATTCTCAAAAATATATTAAAAGCTATGACAAATCCAAAAACAAACAATATTTGTTCCCATTCATTCAAGGGATAGTAATATTTAATACTAGTATGGCAAAAAGCAGATAATCTTATATATTAAATACAAGTAGCAAAATATAACTATGATTTTTCAAATTAAAAGAAACTTTTCAGAGCTAAGAGCTAACTTCTTAAGAAACCATTATCTAGAATATTCTTGATCTAACTCCCTATCACAGCTCCATTCCCCCCAAAAAAATTAATTCTGATTTGAGCTCAATTCAAGAGAGCTCATTAGTGAGAGTTCGAATTTAGCAAAAGCTATTTCTTGTAACCCTGGTCTTGTTGTTAGGAAATATTTACTAATATTTTTATTCTTAAATTCCTATAAATTTAAACTAATTTTTAAAAATACATAATGAGGGATTTGTCACTGTTTTTATTCAGAGAACTTACTACAAATAACTTCTGGGATAGCACAGTTATTTGCCTTTACTGTTTTAAAAATGACATATGATGATCACAGCACATTTTACTATTTTAATAGATATGAAGGTTTTGCTATTTTTAGTCTCTGATACTGCAGTCTTTTCAAAATTCTAAAAATGCAAAAACATTGAATGGAATTTTCTTGCAAAGGAAAATCTAGGAGCTTCAGAAGTGTAACAAGAATAATTAGGAAATAGGCTTATGATATAAATTTATGTTTTATGATTTGAAGAGTGTTATATGGTAGGTGCACAGCAAGGCATCAAAATCATTACTCACAAAAATATTAAAACTTTCAATATTATCATTAACTGCTTCATAACTCCCCCAAAAGTTCCCTTGTTATTTTTTTAAAAATATAAATTAAATTCTGGTACAGGCCTAAATTTATATTATACATATCAATGCAGCCTTTGCGGCACCAGTATTACATTAAAACACAAATTAATATTAATTAAAATTTAAATGAGCGAATATTAAGAATACAATACTTTTCATTTTGTTAATTTACATATAAAAACAAATAAGAAGCTTATGGTACAATATTAAGAAATATTTGCTTACTAAATAAAATTCAGCAAAATCTGTATCAACAGCTTTAGAAAGACCTACAAGTTTGTCGTACCGCTGGCGTGCAATATTTTGAACAAACATAATACTTCTCATGTACTTCTTCATCTCTAAAAAAAAAAAAAAAAAAAAAAAAAAAAAATACATTTGTGCCTTACTAAATATATTAACATAAGTACATATATATATATATAAACTCTTCTGCACAATGTACCATGTTTTTTTTCATATACATGACAATATTTACTTTTCCCCTTAAAATAACTAAACCGAAAATTTAGGATTATCTTATACATATAAAGGTAGGCAAGTGAAAGATCTCACAACTGTTGCAGTAAAACCATCTATTCATTGCCTACACTACTACACTGCCTAGTACTACTACCGCTAATTAGCTTCAGTTAACTAGCAGTGTTAATTACATTGTTAAATAATGTTATTAACAGTTGATTTTGATTAAAGCAATTGCAAATATGAAAGCATCGAAATGTCCACAATTCATTGGAAGGAGTATTATTTCAGAATTGTTGTGATGGATCAATACTCTCTAATCAGTCCACACACTAATTTAGAAGTTAAGAATATTTTGAGCAATGGTCAATAAAAATTGCCAAAGAAATAGGATATATCACAAAAATATCTAATCACTAAATATATTTTCAATACTTAAAAACATCAAAAGTGCTCTATCTTATACATAAATTACTCATTTTTTGATTCTGGTTTATAATACCCATTTGGATGTCATATACATGGAAAAATATGGCATAACAATGTAATATATTAAATTAGTTTGAAAATAAGACAAATTGTTCCCCTTAAAATGCTCTCCAAAACCCTTTATATCTTTTATGGTTATTTAACAGAAAAATATATTTAAATAACTATTTATTTCTTATTTTGAATTTAGAGTAAATATATTTACTTAGCTTTCTCAAGATACAGTATTTCGGTAATTCAGTTATTTTTCATGAAAACAACAAGTTCATATATGTGAACCCCCTTCCCATTTCTTGTAAAACATCTTAAAAAATTCAGGGCCATTTTGTATGTGAAACCATTTAATATTTAGGTGGATACAGAATGCTTTTCTTATGTAGATTCAAACATAATTATTTTTAATTAGCACCTGACTATAACACTACATGAAACGAAGTGAAGTACTGCATGCTTCATTTATGTAGATGATTAAGACTACATAAATTAAGTATAATCAAAGGCATATTAATATAAAAATTTTAAATGTTGTACACATTATTACAGATAAAGCCTCATACATAAAATACAATGTTAATACACAAATTCAAAAAATGATCATATTACTCCAAATAAAGTTACACAGAAAAAGATATTAAATAAAATTACCATCTTTATCCCCAGTATCTTTAGCATTCTGTACTTTGAGCTCATGCTTACAAATTTGAAAAAATGAATTTAGTTCTTCATTATTATCTGTTCGCCTTAAGACACTTAGCAAGGATTTGCTTGAGAGCGGATGATCTTTGCACTGGAAGGTAATTTATGAAATCATTCCAAATATCTTAAAAATACTGAAAATATATACTGGAAAACAATTTATAGAATCATTCCAAATAGCTTAAAAATACTGAAAATACTTCTGCTTTTCAAGACAACAAAATACAATCATTTTAAGTATTCTTAAAAAATTTTAAGTATTCTTAAAATTTTAAGTAATTATTTTAAGTATTTTAAAAAGTTTACATTTGTATATAAAAAACAAACTTAACATAACATTATCAAATTATCCTACATTTCTACAGTAAAATTTTAGAACAAAAAGTTTAAAAGTCACAAACGTATACTCCAAAGCCAGAAAGAATTAATTAGAAAAGCCAGAAAGAATTTATTAAGAAAATAAAAAATAAATATAATTAATAAAAATGAAGGAAAGAACACATAAATAGCAGATCAAACATGGAAAATCATACCATCCAAATCAAATTTTGATTTATCACATCAGGGTCAGAAAACTGAGAAATTAATGGTTGTAGTACTGAACACAACAACACTTCCTGAAAAATATAAGAAGGGAAAAATATAGCCTTTCCCAAGTGTACTACATAGATACATATTATAAATACATGACTCAAAGAGAAGGAGGAAATTATTTAAAGCCTGTTTATGATTAAGTATCTTAATTACACAGTTCAATATGAGTCAAGATTTTTATGTTTAGATAAAAGTACAAGATTTAAAGGCATAAAAAAAATGCTACAGTAAATTTAAAAAAAATCAAATAATAAGAATAAAAAACTGTATAGAGCCCACAAGAAGTATGGAACTTAACAACTACCAGTACACTTTCAAGTATTATAAATATTGGTGCACATTAAGATGTAAAAGAATGATTTAGAATCATATTTAATTTGGTGATGACTTTGATATGAATTCATCATATTTAACTATGAAAGTTAATTAAAAATATTCAATTCTTTGAAGTCATGCTGAATTTATGATATTAATGACATATCTGAATTTTTGACAGCTTTGAGGTAAAAGCAGCAAAATTTTCAGTATCATGTTTCAGAGATTGCACTGTGATTCAATTCTAATGTAGGAGAACAGCCTGTATATCAATAATAGGCATTTTTAGCCAGATGTGAATATATGGAATTTATTAAATTATATACAGGGTGATTATAATTAAAGTTTAAGTTTCAAAACGCTATAAAAAAAGAACCACTGATGGAAATGATGTGAAATTTGAAAGGAATGTTATTGAAGAAGGCGGAAAGCGTATGGCAGAAGAAAAAATTTAGTTTCAAAAGTTAGCAACAGATGGCGCTGTAAGGGGGAGAATCACGACGAGAAACGAGAAATGATTCGTAAAACAACGGGTTAAGGTGGAAGTTACACATTAAAACGCATTGACAAATTAGAATTGTTGAATAATTTTATTTGCATGACTGTACATATCACATCGAAAGGGACAAATCGGTTTCAAGAGTTTTGCAGCGACATACCACATAAGAACCATTCATCAAAGCAGTTCGGAACTGTCGCGAGACTGGCGCAAAACATGTTCAATATGGTGTCCACCGTTGTGTGCAACAAGTTGAAAGCGACAAACAGCATGTTCCACAATGGATCGCAGTGTCTCCGGGGTGATGTTCAGAATGTGTTGCGAAATGCATGCCTTTAATTCCGCTAAATTTGCAGTTGGAGCACGGAACACAACATCCTTCAGATATCCCCTCAGCCAGAAATCACACGGAGTAAGATCAGGCGATCGGGACGGCCAGGCTGTAGGGAAATGACGGCTGATAATTCGAGCATTTCCGAAATGGCGCCTCAGCAGCTGCTTCACGGGATGTGCAATGTGCGGAGGAGCGCCATCTTGCATAAAATGATTTCATCCACACGTCTACGCTGTTGCAGAGCTGGAATCACGTGGTTGCGCAAAATCGATGCATACCTCTGACCAGTGACGGTTGCGATAACAGGACCGGAAGCACCCGTCTGCTCGAAAAAATATGGTTGTAGGATGAATGATGCCATAAAGCCACACCATACCGTGACCTTTTCAGGATGAAGTGGTACGGGGTGCGTTGCCAGTGGATTTTCTATTGCCCATATTCGACAATTCTGGGTATTCACGTATCCTATCAGATGGAAATGGGCTTCATCTGTACACACAATTTTCCACGGCCATTCATTATCCACTTCCATGCGAGCCAGGAATTCTAACGCAAAAGTCTCCCTAGCTGTCAAGTCAGACGGAAGCAACTCCTGCACATGGCCAATTTTGTACGGATAGCATTGCAGGATGTTTCGTACAATTTTCAGCACCGTGCTCGTAGGCCTGTCCAATGTTCAGGCAATTTCTCGTGCACTGCACGGTTGCACACGACCGGCCGACCCCTCTTGTAATGCTGTGGCCACTTCTTCAAACTTCACACTACCGTCGAATGCACTCGTTTTCTCCCTCTACCAGATTGCACATCAAACGAACCTGTCGTTTCGAATTTTTGCATCATTTTCTTTAGACCTACGACACTCATTGGACCAACGCCTTCTTTTATACCCTTCAGTGTCCTGAATTTTTGCAGAGCTACTCTTGCACAATCATCATTCTTGTAATACAGCTTTACCAGCAGACGCGATCCTGCAGTGAAACACCCATGGCGAACGTCTGAGACGCGAAATGAGGAACAGCCTGGTACCTGGCGGCTTTATAACACTGAAATTTAACTAAAATTTTAATTTACGTCTTCTTCCGCTTGCAGTGCCATCTGTTGCTAACTTTTGAAACTAAATTTTTTCTTCTGCCATACGCTTTCCGCCTTCTTCAATAACATTCCTTTCAAATTTGACGTCCATGAGTGGTTCTTTTTTTATAGCGTTTTGAAACTTAAACTTTAATTATAATCACCCTGTACATAAAAGGAATAAGGCACTGTGAATACATGTTCTAAGTGCTTTAAATATCACTGCTTCAATACATGACTATTGCATCTACATAAATCTTACTCAAAATGGTACTTGGATGTTAGTTAACACCTGACAATAATATAATGGCACCTTCTGACAATGATACATTTTCTGAACTCCAGCCAATTGGTTAAAGAGGTATTTTAATTTCCAGTTGGGTTACCGTCTGGCAAATACATTCACAGTTGCATGAGACAGATTGTTATTCTTTACATTTTGCCTCAGGTTTATATGAGCTCTGCTAAATAAGAAATCAAATAAATTCCTTCCAATTCACAGTTCTTATTCTAACACTTTGTAGTTAGGTAGCATACTATTGTCAACATTTGCATTGTATATCTAGCATCATGCACTTTCACTGCATGTGAAATCCCCTTTGTATATTCCCACATTACACGTATACTTAAGATTCTCTGGGATTCCCCCCTCCCCCGATCAGAGGTGGAGATGGTTCGCACTCCACCTTCTTCTTGGCAAGCCTATACATCATAAATCTTCTGGGTAAATGCTTGAAAATAACAAACATAAAGGAATAAAATTTATCTTACTCTTAAGCATTGCTTTAGCACTCTGTTATTGAAATCATCAGGTGGAAGCAACAGATACAAAACAACATCACTAATATATCTCAGATAAGCTGCCAAGAGGGAAAAAAATAATGAAGGTTACATACACACACAGTTATAAATTCAATTACACTTTATTCCATTTCTCACATTATTAAATTATTTGTTATTAAATATTGCATTACAAAATATTTTTTATAAACTTTCTTCATTCTTTAATTATTACAGAAAATATAAATTAAATATTCTACAAGAAAATAACTGCTATGAGAAAATTTAGGCCACTTTGTAATGATTATTATATTTCTGAAGGAGGAAATGTAAAAAACCAGTTTGTTCCTTTCAAGAATTATATCTTCATATTGTTGGAAGGATATACCAACTACTACACAAAAGAGCACATGTGGAAGGGGAATGTCATAAATTTTTACATTCTCTCTTGATCTAAAAGGCAACTGGATAGAGTATATGAGACTTAGTTAGCCAAATTCATATAATGCTGAGTTATCAATTACCAGATTTTAATTAGGATGCTTCAGAAGAGACTGTTAGGCTTCAAAGCAGCAAAAAAAAAAAAAAAAAAAAAAAAAAAAAAAAAAAAGAACAGTAGCTTTCTATACCTTTCCCAACATAATTAATTTGAATGCTGAATTTCATTATAAATTAATTACATTAAGTAACTGAAAGTCATTAAGGCAATTTTAATCACAAATGGATAATTTTTTCTTTTTAAAAGTATAACAAGATATAAATTAAAAAAATCAAATACTATATATTAAAAAAGCTCATTTGTGGATTTGCATGGAAGGTGCATATGTATACAGATAGATACATAGATAAACATATTTAAGGTTGCTTATATAAGCAAAGAGTAATTAATGGTGTGAGTTTTCCTCAACCAGAGCCAGTCTGACAAATATTAAAATATACAAATGCAAAATAGATGCAATGCAATGTATAAGCATGCAAATAAAAAGGCACATCTCAAAATGGAATAATCTTGAAATGTAAAACTTATGGCAAAATGGACTACTTAGAAATTGCAAATAAAGAAAAGTTAATAATAATACCACACAGCATTCTCAAAAACGCATTAAGAGCATCTAAGCATTCAGAAAATGCCAATAGCATATGCTTGTAGAACACTGACTGATATGGAGAAAAAGTATTCTCAGATGGATAAAGAAGCATTGTCAATCATCTGGTGAACTAAAAAACTTTTTCTGTACTTAAAAGACAGGAAATTTACTTTGATTATGGATCATAAATCTCTTATTGCAATTTTTGGCTCAAAGAAAGGCATGCCCAGTTTTGGCAGCAACAAGACTCCTACACTACACTTTGGCTTTACAGTCATTCCAATTCTATATTATTTACTGTAAAACAAACACAATACCTTATACACAGCGCACAGTACCTTATACACTGATATATAACTTGCAGTTGTTGCAATAACTGTGGTTATTCCAGTAAATACTTCTATAGATATTTCAGTCGTTGTAACTACTACAGAGACACAATGCAGGTAGCAGTCTGTTCATAGTCAGTAGTTTGCTCTATACGCCGTAAGTGAGTACTGTACGCAATAAGCAGCTATGTCTGCAGATATGTTACAGTGCAGTTATGTTATAAGCGCAGCACATAGTTTAAACATATTGTAAGTTGCATTCAGCTGACTGTCAGAATTCTGTTGATGATTTGGTAGTAAAAGCTGACTGTGGTTGCTTTATGAGACACTATAATTGACGCTAGTTTGGTTGGCAGATATCTTACCCTAGGGCGTTGACCTGCCTAATTATATGGCAGATCTTTTTGACCGCTGGTGGGTGCTTAATGATGAATCATTTATATGATTCTATATTTGTGGCTGGAAGTGGTAGGTGAAAGTTGGACGTAAGGCTGCATTCAAATATGTAGTGGTCAGGGGAGCCAGTTGCCCCGCAGATGAATATATCTGTCATCGAAATTGCATGTATCTGAAAATAGGATGGAAACGGGCTGTGCCCCGTGATATAGTTTGTCAAGGGTGCAATGTCCTGGAGACGTTGGTTATCTACTATTGGGTAGAATCCATGTGTCCTTCTTCCTGTATCACAGTTATCCCACTCCTGTTGCCACTGTTCTTTGCTTAGTTCTCTTAGCGTTTGCTTTAAATACGAAGTCGGGATTGGAGTTGTCACCTCTTGCGCGTCGTTGTTGAGTGCCGCCTCATTTACTAACTGGTCGGCCATCTTGTTACCCTCTATGCCATCATCATGTCCTTTCATCACCCAGATTAAGTTTGATGTGTGTTTGCATATTGTTACGCAGGAGCTGTTGGATTGCTATAATTGTGGGTGAGGTATGGTGGTGATTCATGATTGCCTGTAGCACTGACATGCTGTCTGTGTGAATTTCGGTTGCTGCTAGATTAATGTCCTGAGCATACTGAATTGCAGTATGGCAAAACAATCCTTAAGAACCATGCAAAATTGTCCAGGAACTCTGAGACAAAAACTCAGTACATTTTTGATGCAAAATAGAAAAAGCTCCAAAGTTAACTACTCTACAGAGCCCTGCAATGTTAATGCTGAAAAGGGAAATTTGAACATGAATCAAATTGTTGAGAACAGTTTTCAAAAGGAGGGTGGAAATCAGAGTTTGAAAAGGAACCTATGAGTTTGCAGACCAAGGATTTGGGGTTGGCGACAAGGTGGCAGTAAGAAATTATCGCCAAGGTGACAGACAATGGAGATTTGGTACAGTCCAATCCAAGGATGGACAGCTTCATTACACTATAAATGTAGATGGTCAGCTGTGGAGGCAACATGTCGACCAGATGCGTGATGGAGGAACTATACCTGATGAGGAGTTCTTATGTCCACCACCAGCTCTCGTGATTCTTAAAGAGCTTGATAAGAGCAGAGTTCCAGAACCATCCAAAGATAATAGCTACCAGATAAATGAGTGTATGCCATCTTCTCCACCAAATATGTTACCAGAAGTTTCATCCACTGGACCTGCTGTTGATACAATCAGGTTACCAAAGAAACCAGCTGTGCTATAATCTTAGCGTCAGTCCAGTAGAATTCATCGCTCCCCTGATAGACTGCAGTCGTGATAAAGGGGGAAGGATATGGTATATCAAGAACTTAATCGTAATCAACCTTAGAACTGACATGCACAAGCATCGGGTAGCGTGCAAATTGAGTGTTTACGTGGATAGAGGAAGTGCCAGTGGTGGAAGTTGTACATGTGTTTAGTGTATGCTTATATGTACAGTATGATGCATCTTGTATAAAATAAAGTGTCATGTGGATAAATACAGTGTTGTGTGTAATAAATATCCCCAAAAGACAGGATAATAACTGCACATTGAATTCCTAAAATAATAAAAGAGTTCAGTTATCAGGTTCAATGTTTCTTCTTACCTTCTTCGGAAACATACAATGACCTGACTAGAACAGAGAGCTTACTAAAGCTATGTTCACTAATTGTAGTAAGTAGACAGGATACAGACGAAGGGTATACAAAACCCTTTATTTTTCTTTATATACAATGACTTCCGTACTTCGGAATACAATGACCCTCCACTCGGGGTCTAACGTAAAAGATATCAAAATAAAACTAAACTCTAATTTAACTTTAGAATAAGATTGGCCTTATAATAACAGGAAGCGTATGTAGCACAGAGACTGTGAACACTACAATACGTTTAATTTATCAAGAGGATTAAAACCTCTGGCCTGGAAGGCAAATAGCAACTGCGTAACTTCTAAGGTAAGCGGCCTGCTTCGAACTCACTGCTTCCTCCTCCTCTCTTCTGCTTGGCAAAAAGGCCACACTTAAATACTTGGCGTTCGCCAGACAACTTTGCATAAACTCCTTCACGCTTATAATTCTTCTGGCCGGAAGTAGAAAATAAGAAGTGATAGTAAAGATTTAAAAAAAATAAATAAACGTTAGTAAAACTTAAGATCCTTACATACTACTTCCCGCCAGAGTTAATTAGTTTGAAACTGAGGTCTAAAACGACCTTGTTGAAAACTTTTAAGCTCTAGAAACTAACGCGAGGCCAACCTTTTTTACAAATCATAACTTAGCTAGAAACTAGAAAAATTTTAAAAGAAAGAAATTTGTTTACAATAGCAGCTCCCGGATATACAACAATCTTTTTTCTTTTTTCTTTTTTTCATCTGTACTGCTGTACTGCATCTAAACAGGAGCTTTTATTCAATTCTGGTTCCTTCCAGAGATCTGGAAGGAAAACTAGTTTAATGAAATGTTACAGAATGACATTGCAAATAACATATAGAATATACTTTTCTTAACATTCTTATTTCATTCATGACTATTTTAATTATCTCTCCCCGTGCTCTCTGACATGTGTTGTAAAAAACACCAAACACGAATGTGTTTCTGTCTACGTGTGCCACACTTCCTCCTACAATCAAAACACTAACGTGTTAAAATTCAACATACGAGACCTCTTAACACACCCTAATTTCAACTCTAGACCCTGAGGTACTATTCTGAAAGTGGCTAACTCTAAAGTGTAGCGTCAGAGAGCCTAACTACATCATTCAACCTTTACACATATTCACCATGATTTAATCTTTACAGTCACACGAATAACAAATTTTTAACATTACTTTCACTTTTACCATATCACGGTATTTCTTAACATTTCAAAATAACAGTTCACATGTATATAAGAACATATCAACATGCCGTTAATTTTTACACATTTGAAAACATACATTAGTAGTACATTGTTAACTTCTATTCTTTTCAAAGCAAGTGCCAATTCTTTCTACATTGAAATAATACTACATTTCAAAAAGTCTTTCAGACTAAAACTTCTTTCTTGCTAGAATGTTTTTAAATAAAATTTATACAATAACTTTTTACAATATTTAAGTCTTTACACAACGCTATTATACATCAACTTTAGTTTTACGCGCGAGTAATTGAAAAACATAATAAGAAAATCGGTCACAACTCATTTCTCGCCCTTTTGGCGATAAAGGTAGACCTCGCATGAGGTAAAACTTCTTGAAATCTGCCACTTGCAGTAAGAATGAAAGATTAA